GATCCATTCTCAAAAAATATTATATATATTTATATTATATCAATCATATATGGGTTCTTCTATATATAACTCTTGGTTCCCTTTTCGATTTTAATACAAAAACAGATGACCAGAAGAAAAAAAAGATTGTACCATGCATGCATCCTAAACGTCATTAAATTGTTTGGCAACCTTTAATTTGTTTAGATTATTACTTATAATACAAGTTTTCTCAGAAAATAGAATCTTAAAAGCTATCCCAAAAAAAAAAACAATAGAATCTTAAAGCTAACCTCATCGTGTGGAATCTATTTGCAAAGAAGAAGGAATCTTTTCTTTTATTTTACCTTCGGAAAACAAGAAAAAATGAAATATTCTATGAGGCAAAACTTGGGTGGGAAGATAGCGTCAAACAGACTCGACCTATGATCGGATCTTTGCTTCTAAGCTTATTTTATTAAGGGCTTAACTACATTGTTTATGTAAACGAGAAAATAAACGCCTGATTATACGTAACCAATTATCTTTGGATGGAATCTTATGTAACATAATGACATTATTTGTCTTAGTCTTAGATATCCCAAGAAAAGAGCATTACAAAGAGAATCTCTCTGACAATACAATTATATACACTTTGAAGTAAATGTTCAACATTTGTGTATATCAAGACCTCGTTCACATATTTTGTTTTCCTTCTGGTCATTAAATGCAGAGGTTTTAAATATAAAAATAGAGCATATATAGGTGTGATATATTCACGAATATAAAAAATAGAGCGTATACAGGTGTGATATATTCACGAAGTACACTTTGATCATTCGATCTTAGGGGGTTATATTCAAAGTTGGATTGGGTAATTAGCTAAGAAAAAAATTTAGTATTTTAAATTTTCACTTTCGGTTTCCATATTATGTTGTTTTTCTAAAAGCTAGCTGAAACGATATTTGAAAAATTAATTCTGTTATGCATTGTTACATACTTTTTTTTCTTTTTGGTTCATCACAGCATTGTTAAATATCAATTTTGATGAAGAATTCTAACAATGCAATGTCAGTAAAAATCAATATTTACAAACGGCTGAAGTTGTATACGCGTTGGATTGTAGATTAAAAAAAAAAAAAAAAAAAAAAAAAAAAAAAAAAAAAAAGAGTTAAGTATCTGAATTTATTGGCAGAAGTTTTATGATATTTTCCCCAATATTTTAGCATGTAGACATCTAGTATTAATATTTGATTGTTAGGGTCACAATCCCATGTGATCAGTCAATTCAATATTTTGACTCATAAAAAGATGCAAATAAAGACTTTTCAATCTTTTCCACATAACTATAATGTGAAAAAAAAAAAACACAACTAGGTATAATATAATGATTAAATCTGTTTTAAGGACCAACTTGATTGACTTCTCATATCCTAGACGTGGACTTAGTTATCTACAAGTGTGTATGACTATGTTGTTATAGAGCATGAGAGACAATGAAGTAAATACAGTACGTGTTAGCGATAAAAACGAATTAGATAATTCATTATCGTTAGTTAGGCTTTAATTATAGTAGGGTTTTAGTCTTTCCACGTTATTAGCTGTCTACTTTTGAACAAACCATCAATGTTACTTCACCCATTTCTCCCGACATGCCACAAGAAGATCATTGTAAGATTTGGTGGCGTATTTATTTATAGCTAAAATTATTAAGTTGTTTAAATATTGTTAATGCTCGAAAGATATTAAGTTATATGAATATGTAGGTATGTATTTTTAACAACCCTAAGTTCTTCGGGTGCCTCCTATGCTATAGAGTATAATGGAAATTCCAAAGTCAATTGGCCCGTGAAATATGAAGCTTGTCTAAGGTTTCCCAATCACACGACACGACTATCGACACGTGCTAATCACTATCTTTTAAAAAATCTATTTTCCCTATACTATTTCCTTCATATTCAAATTATTCAATGAACCCGACTCAGGGAGTGGGAGTATTTGATTTAGATAAATTTGTTTTCTTAATGAAGGAATCAGCTTTAGATCCGAATCTTTCATAGAATCATAGGCCTGTGTGAACATAGAGTCGTTGGAAAATAGTTTGATAAATGCAGATTCATAGGTAAGATATACTTTCGAATTCTACCAATCATCATTTTACAAAAGTTTCAAATTTAATAAGCGTTGAGTTAATTTAAACCATAACAGAAACATGTGAGTTAACGAATTTGGGATCTCACGATGAAATCTTATATATCTCATCCGGAAACCATCTTGAAAATCCACTAAATCACTTGTTACCACTTTCATCGGCAAATTCAAGTTATCTGATCTATTTCTTAGAGACAACATTTTTTAGATAAAGAACAAATATCAAATGAAATTTATAAAGAACGATCAAGCTAAGTAGTAAATTGGTGAAAGATGGAAATTAATGTGTTGGAAAACGGTTAGTCAATTTGCTAAACTGAGTCGGCCTATGCTTGACCGACAGACGTACAAATCAACAAAAATAAAGAAAAATCCGATAGATAATTTGGAAACCTCACGTTGACGAGAAGATATGTTATTTACATTATACATATGATCCACTAAAGCAAATTAAGATTGCTTTTTTTTTTGTTGTTAAAGAGATACTCAAACTAAGATTTGGTGTAATTCTTTCTTCTTCTGTGGCTTAGTATTTTCTTTAATCGGGTTAGGGTTTTAAACTAAGGGAAAAGACGTGTATTAAGTATTAACTAAACAATTTCTTAGAATTTGTTGGAAAGCAAAAGTTACAACTGAAGAGTTGGAATCCACCAGAAAAAGTGAGAGAGAGATTCTCTATCATTTAACTTTTGTAACTTTAGTTTCTCCAATTGTCTTTTTAAAAGAATAAAAATATTTCACGCTCCAATTATTGGCCGAATAAATTTTATAGAACATATAAGCACAATAATAGTAGCATCCAACCCCTGTTCTAAAAATCCCCGCCTAGACCCGATTACTCCCCGCTTAATCGCTAGGCCTACCCTGTCCGCCTCGATTAATGACTAATCCCCTAAAAAATCAGTAACCCGATTATTCTCCGCCTAATCCGATTATTCCCCGCCTAATCCGATTATTCCCCGCCTAATCTTACATACCCCGATTATTTTTAGATTGCCAGTATAAAAAAACTTTTTATTTTTGTTATTCAATCATTTGAATTGGGAGTTTGTAATGTTTTACAATAATTTATGTTCATATTTTAATAAAAATCATAAATATTTGTCTCAAAAATACATTTTTATTTGTTTACTGCAATTTTAAAAATAATATTGGATTAATATGTTTTAAAAATATTAAAATAACCCTAAAACTAATCCCCGATTAATCCCCGATTTTAATCCGATTTTCCGATTAATCGCTAGGCCCATGCCGAGCGCCCGACTAGCGCCTAGCGATTTTTCAAACAAGGCATCCAACCAATTATTGGTCGCCGTAAGTTTTCAAGTTAGTAGTAGACCCTTTTTATATATATAGCCCATGTAGGTCAATTTTAAAAGATCCATTCCTACGAGAAGTCTGAAAATAGTTAAAAAAAAAACATAAATAATGCATGTCTTCTTTGAAATTTGAGTTTGGCATCAAGTGAATGTGAACGCATATTCAAGTTTAACGTGCTTGACTTCCTCGTATAAATTGAAAACCCGGCCATACATTTCCATATAACAATAATGTTTGCGCAAACCTGGGACTACGTTTCTAATGACCTGAGGCAAAACTCTTTTTAAAAAGGTTTTATTTTGTTTATTTTCTGTATAGGTACTTGCTTGCATTTACATGTTTAAAACAGAATATTGTTATTCACATAAAACTATAATATTTAATTAGTTTTTATAAAAAAATATATATTTTCAAATAACAAACGCGAATGAAATAACTTTTAAGGCCCTTCAATTAATTAATACAAGACCAACAAGACTACATCTTAAACTCAATAATCTATGTAACTATTGTCTCCACATTAATAAATCTCTTTAATATGTGTTTGTCAATTAAAAATATCATGGAACAGTTCACATGACCAAGATCCCCTTTTTCGTGGATCATTAAGGTGTTTTATCAAAGAATTTCTAACACGTGTTCTCTGAAGGATGTGTTCATCATCAAATACGCAGCCACAGCCATATAAGTGTATATGTAATAATGAGTATGGGGAGTTCCAAACTCTTTGGTGGCATGTGGAGGCATGTGACTCAGATGCCCTCATTATAGGGAACAAAACTTATGTGTCGATCTTTTACTTGAGCAATCCTCTCTGACACTTCTTAAAGCTAGGAAATTTTGTTGTATTTAGATTATTTTTTAACAAAGTCCAAATGATTTTTAGTGGATGATGATCGGCTTCAAAACTAAAATAAAGTATATGTTTTTTAAATACGGCTGCTAAGGAAGTACAAGAACCATTTAAAGAAACTCAAATTAAGGCATGGGTTCCAACGAGACCATGTGGAGGTTTAGGATAAAAAGTTTGTATTGGTGATTGGTCTTAATTTATTTGTATCTTGTTTTTAACCGATATTACCAACCACTGGTTTCGAACCGGGTTTGGCAAATATTGAATACGAATAAAACATTATGAGTAAAAGAAAATCGTGAGTAAAATAGTCTTTCCACGTTCTTAGCTTTCTAAATGAGCAAAATCTTTTAAAAATAAATATTAATGGGCTTATAGACTTCGTTTTAAAAATCGGATATTAATGGGCTTATAACGGGCCTGTCTTTAGAGACCCACTTAAATCCTAAGATGGATAGGCAAAAGTTTTTATATCCCACATCGCTCAGAAACCCTTTTCATGAACTAAAACGAAATAAATAAGACAAACTTGCAGGCGAAAAAATAATCCGACAAACTTGCTTGATCTGTTTCGGTTCATACAAATCGTAAATTCGTAATCTTGCTCGATTTAAGGTGTTGACGAATATAGTTCGTAAAACTTGACCCATTCAAGTTAAAGAAAAAAGTTCAATGATGAAAAAATAAAATAATGAATTTAATTATTGGTAGAAGAAAATTAATCAGCTTATATCTAGTAGAGTATTATTTAAGACTTAAAACCAAATTGAACAAAAGGATCGACGACGATCAAAGCGAAAACAGAACATTTTTCATATGGATATGACCATACAATCCAAGAAAGTATATGATAAAGGGACCATAAGCACATCATCAATCCATTCAATCTTTCCCCAAATTTCTTCACCTCCATGAGACTTTTCAAGCGCAATCATCGCACACCAAATTTTCTTGTTTCGTTTAGATAGCGTAAATCTGTCCCATACCATTACGAGTTTCCCACCAAAGTTAACTATTTCAACCCTATCTATTTCACGGAATTTATTTAGAAAATCCAAACCTTTGATCGTTCTCCACTCTTTAGACTTTGTGTCAAGCCACCAGCAGTTTTTGTTGTAATAAATGTAGCGTACTTTCTCTATCACACACCAACTGCAATTTAAGAGTACCTCTGTAACATCCCATCTACGTTCTTGAGTATCATATATATAATCCTTCTTCTCGCTACTAACGTAAAGGTTTTTCTGATACATTTTCATTTTCCTAACCAAATGGCCACGGACATCTGGACCAGGGTCTGGCAAAGGTTCCCACGTTTGAGTCTTTATGTTGAAAACCTCACCCCAATTCATGGATTCATCTGAATCACACCCTCCCATTACATATATTTTAGGATACTGTCCAACAATTACTGCGTTAATCCGTGCCACGGACATTCTAGGAGCTTTACATAAGGTGTGAATCTTGCCATTCTTATAGACCCACACGGAGGAAGAAGGAACATTGTATCCACCGATTATGTAGGTTTCTGAACCAACTATCACTGAGGGTACTACTACTTGATAATTATACGAAGAAGGCAACGACACCAGTAAATTTCCAGTAGACTTTTTCTTGATCGGGCCATCGTTGGTTAGGGTTTGTTTAGGCCTTATCCAAAGGGTGAACCAAGAAGGATAACTACGAGTAGGCAATTTTAGCCATACGTAGAGGCGGTTTTCTTTGGTTCCAAGTTGAGTTCTAGCCTTGTAGAGTTCATTTGATAAGATGATTGAGCGGAATTGCTTGGAGACAAGGCAAAGTTTCGGGTAGTACGATCCCGATACGCGGGCTAAGCAACTCACAGCGATTTCGTGCGGTAGTGATGAAAATGACAGAGAATGGTTTGTACTCTGGGGTACTTCTTCTTGGGAGATCATAGCTGCAGGAGTTGTGGCTAAACACGACCAGATATGTCTTAATCAAAGACCTTTTGTTTACTTGATTTTGAAGCAATCCTTTGATTTAATTAAAAAATATAATTGAATTAATTAGAAAGGTAGTAGTTAAATGGGGATCTAGTCAAGGTTGGTGTGATCATAATTTATATATAGGTGACGCTCAAAGTTAGAGGTGATATGATGTGAAAATTTTCTATTGACTTTATCTGAGTATGAGATTTAGGTATATCTTCACAATTTTTTTTTCTCCAAAATTAGTCAAGATAATTGGGTGATTGAATAAAGATAGAAGCAATGCTGTATCTGTAGACTCTAACAAGTAAAATACAAAATTAAAAATAAATGTAAATTATAATTTGTTGTTTAAATTTATTAAATTACAATCGTAATTTTTGTTGTTTACAACTTACACATACATTTTACTAGATTCGAAAATCAAGTGATAAATTTTATTTTCTTTTAGGATATAAGAAACTTAAATTGCAAAAAAGTTTTACATAGGTATAAATAGCCTATTTGGCTAACCTGTTGGTTTGTATTCTTGATGTCTTTAATCAATTGCATATCTTTGGTGATATTATTATTACCTATTGATATTTTCAACAATTTTAATTTGAACATAATATTATTTATTTAATTTACTGATGTTGGTTCATAGTATGATTAGATTAACATATTTCTAATGATGATGTAAAAAATGAAAAAAAAAAAAAACTGATGATGGTTTAAAGAAAATGACTTTAAAAACCATAGGCAATGCACAAAAGACTCAAATCAAAAGCATGATCACAAATATATTGATCAAACCGGTTTCACTTCACAACGCAAGAAAACATATGAACTAGGAACCGTAAGCACAATACTAGCCCACTCAACCTTTCCCCAAATTTCATCATCTTTACGCCTTTTAAGTGAAATCACGGCACACCAAATATTCTTGTTTTGCTTCGCAAAGATTTCCCACAAGATTAAGAGTTTGTCACAGTAGTTAGCTACTTCAATAACATAAGAACGACGATACCTATTCAATGTAGCCAAACCCTTGATATCTCTCCATTCTTTCTGCTTTGTGTCATACCACGAACAACTTTGTCCACGACAACGGTACAATACATTCTCTATCTCACACTTTCTCTCAATCATGAATGCTCTTGTGATAACGTCCCATTTATCTTCTTCCGGATCATAAACATAGTCCATCGTATAGCTTTTCTTAACGTAAATCTTTCCTTCGATCACCTCCATAGTTTTAAATGAAGATAAGCGTAACTCATCCCCAGGGTCAGGTAAAGGTTCCCAAGTTTGAGTCTTCGGGTCGAAAACCTCAGCCCAATTCGTTGACTCATCTGCTGCACAACCTCCCATTACGTATATTTTCCCATTGATTACACAAGCAAAAACATTGGCTCGAGCTACTGTCATGCTAGGGGCTTTACGCCAGGCGTAGTTAGTACTCTTATTACGAACCCACATGACCGAGGACGGACTATTATGTTTGCTAATAGCGTATAATTCTGAACCAATCTCACCGATGAACATTGGTACACGAGGAGAGTAAGAAGAAGGTATTGGTACCAACAAAGTATTTCTAGTAGACTTTTTCTTCTTCCCGATGTCATTGGTTAGGGTTTGATCCGGTTTAGTCCAGAGACTAAACCATGAGGGAAGACGACGATCGGGCAACTGTAAGCAGACGTGAAAGACGTCTTCATGTCTTCGAAGGTACAATCGCTCTACATAGAGCTCCATGGATAAGATGAGAGAGCAGAAGCTCTTGCAGACTAAGGAGAGTTTCGGGTAGTACGATTTCGGTATGCGGGCTAAACAGTTTACAAGGATTACATCAGGAAGGGACACAAACGACGGAGATGAATTTGGTTTCTTCTTTTTCTGCGATGGTTCGACTTCGGAATCCATAGCTTGCGGCAGAGGTTAGGGTTTTCTTAAAAAAGATTGGGGTTAAACAGGAATTAGCAAACCAACCTCGAGATGGAGACGATTTTGTTTGCCGTGGTTCTACTTTGGACTTCTTCATACTTAAGCAAACACGATTAGGTCTAAGCGAACACGATTAGGTCTAAGCAATGAACTATATATATATACAGGCCTTTTTTAAATTGAAAACTGACCCCTTGATTTAGTTAAATTATCAAATCCTCCCCGTTACGCTTGGGGAAATAACAAAGCTTGTATATACAGTTTCATTGAATTACAAGACGAAGGCTAAAAATAGGCATATATGTTTATGGTGATAGTTAAAGAAGTAGACACAGTTCTAGCTGACGCAATATCAAACTAATCACACTATCCCTGATTTTAAATTTAACACCAAACATACGAACCACCAACTTTTCATAGATAAAGTCATAATTCATGGCAGAATTTTAGTGTTTTATGTCTGATTGTATTCTTCATTGATGTTGCTGAAAATTTAATTGAAATTGCTGTTCTTCTTCTTCTTCTTCTATTTTACCAGAAAGAGAATCCTCCTATGTCAAGATATGTTTGATTGCTTTATCAAAAAAGAAGAAGAAGATCTAATTCAAAGGATATGTTTGATTGCTTTACCTCTAGAGGATCTGTTTGATTGTAGGTTATGAGGATTGCTTTGTGATTGTGAGTGAAGATATTTTCCAACAAAAAAAAAGCATGGAAGAACTAAATTTTTTTGCAATGAGTTTTTTTAGTGATAGTTAAAGAAGTAGAGACAAATCTGACACCTCATTTTAGATTTAAATCCAAGCACACACATACAAAAGAAATGTAGCATAGTTTCATGCCAAACTATTCAGTAAATGTTAAGCAAAGCCTTATAATCTATGGGATATATAATAATATCTGAATGTATCAATGATTTAGGCAAATGTTATACAACTTGTTTTAAACAACGGAGTGTTTCAAGAATTACATCTAAAAGCCATTCTGGACAAGCAGAAACATGTTGACAATTGATCAAGTCCGTATCATTGTAGAACGCAAGAAACGGTATGAACTGGGAACCGTAAGCACAACATTAGACCACTCAACCTTACCCCAAACTTGACCATTTTTGCGCTTTTCAAACGCAATCAACGCACAGCAAATATACTTCTCTCCACAAACACGACGACGAGGCTTTGTAGGCTTGTCCCACAAGAGTAAGAGTTTCCCATCGTAGCTAACTGTTTCAATCAAACCACTACGACAACTCTGATTCAAGGAAGACAAACCCTTGACCAGTCTCCAATCTTGAATTTCATTGTCAAACCACAAACAACTGTTGGGACGAAAAGAGTACCAAACATCACCTACCGCACACCTACTATCACTCACCAACGGTTTTGCTGCAACGTTCCACTTACCATTTTTCGGATCATAAACAGAGTCCTTGCTCTCATTGCTCCTGACGTAAAACTTTCCTTGGATCATCTCTAGTTTTCTAATCATTGAAGAGAAGCGAAGCTCAGGGGCAGGGACAGGTAAAGATTCCCAAGTTTGAGTCTTTGGATCAAAAACCTCACCCCAATTTGCAGATTCATTTTCCGCACAACCTCCCATTACGTATATTTTCTTATCGAAGACGTACGCAACAGGATTCGCGCGAGCTACAGTCATGTTGGGGGCATTACGCCATAAGACAACCTCCTTGTTACGAACATACATGACGCGTGAGGGAGGATAACATTGTTTGAATGCATAGACATCTGAATCAACACTAACGACGAGCAATGGATTATGAGAAGCATAGGAAGAGGGTACTTGTACCAATGTAGACTTCTTCTTCTCCTCCTCCTTGTCATCGAATCCTTCAGGTTTGATCCAGAGTGTGTACCAAGAGGGAAGAGGACGATCGGGAAACTTTAAGCAGACATGAAAAAAGGTTTCTTGTGTTTTGTGGTGAAATCGAGCGTGGTTAAGATCAATGGATAAGATGAGATCACGAAATGTCTTGGAGACTATGGAGAGTTTAGGGTAATACGATTTCGGTATGCGGGATAAGCAGTTTAGGATGAGAACATCTGGGAGTGACAAAAACGACGGAGGAGGAAGAGGAGGAGATGGATTCGTTTTCCTCTTTTTCGACGGTGGTTCGGCTATGGATGTCGTAGCCGCAGAGGCGGCGGTTTCTACCCAAAAAGTGATCATTAGGGTTAAACATGATTAGGGCTTTTCCAAAACCAGCTTATAAACATCTTTCATTTTTTTTTAATATTGAAAAATTGACCCTTAATTTTAATTAAATATCTAATTGTCCCCTAACAATCAAAGTGAACCCCTACGCCAAAAACTTGTTATTTTGAAGCTAAATGTGTTTTTCTTTTTTTGTTGATATTGCCAGTAATTAAAAAGAAAATGCTTATATTTGATCAACCTCTATTCTGTAGACTACGCAGGAAGACGTATGAACTGGGAACCGTAAGCACAACATTAGTCCACTCAACGTTTCCCCAAATTTCAAAATCATCGCCATTACCATTACGTCTTTCAAGCGCAACCACGGCACACCAAATATTTTTTTCCTGAAATTGACCAGGATGCACAAACTTATCCCATAAGATTAAGAGTTTACCACCGTAGTTACCAATCTCAATCAAACCACGATGACGAGTCGTATTCAACATTGACAAACCTCTGACCACTCTCCATTCGTGAGGCTTTGTGTCATACCACCAGAAACGTTGTTCACCACAAGACAACAATAGATTTCCTATCTGACAGTGTTTTTTCCACAACGTCCCATTTACCTTCTTTTGGATCATAGACATAGTCATCACTGTTCTCGTTGCCAACTCTAACCTAAAGTTTTCCTTGGATCAGCTCTATTGCTCTAATTGAAGAGGAGCGGAGATCAGCTCCAGTGTCAGGTAGAGATTCCCAAGTTTCATGAGTATTTTTGTCGAAAACCTCACCCCAATTCGTGGACTCATTTGCCAGGCAACCTCCCATATATAACGTATATCTTCCCATTGACAACACCCGCAATGGCATTCACTCGAGCTACCGTCATGTTGGGACCTTGATGCCAAAGAGTAGCCTCCTTGTCACCAACCCAAATGACGGGGACGGAGCACTGCATTAGCTGAACGCATAGTATTCTGAGACAACTATAACGATGAACACTGGGTCAAAAGGATAATAATAATAGGAAGATGATATTTGTACCAACCGAGTACTTCGAGAAAACTTATTCTTCTTCTTCTTCTTGTCGATTTGATCAGCTTTTATCCATAGGGTGAACCATGTTGGAAGAGGATTCTCGGGTTTTGAGGCGATATCGCTCCTTGAGGAGATCTTTGGATACGACGAGAGAGCGAAAGGACTTGGAGACTAGGGATATAATCTGGAAGCCACGGCAGATTCTTTTGCTTCTTTTTCTGCGGTAGTTCCTCTTCAGAACTCATGCTTCTTTTTCTGCGGTAGTTCCTCTTCAGAACTCATGCTTCTTTTTCTGCGGTAGTTCCTCTTCAGAACTCATAGTGGCAGAGGACGTTTTTGAAATTAGGGTTAAGCACGAGAGTCGGTGGAGAATTTGTTTTGACTTTGGACTTTATATTATAAGATTAAACACGATTAGGTCAGCATATTCGTACCTTAATTGAATTAAGCCCTTTATTTAATTTAGGCGATCTACTAGCCCCGTTTATTTAAAAAATTAGTGAAAGAGAACCCCGTAAGCCAAGGCCAGTTTGATCATAGACATTAAAACATGTTATTTTGGTCTCAGATTAAGTAAAATAAATTGAGTGGAAATAAATTACAGATTACAAAGTAACACCTAGCTCATACATCAAAAACAGATGTATCACACATTAACATGTAAAAGTCAAAACAAAAGAAAAAAAAGCATATGACATTCGGAGGAAAACCCCTTACATGAGAAGTAGTAATAAAGCTCGCTAATTAACCTCTAAAAGACCAAATATAATATTTTGAGTGTGAATTTGTTTTATTTAATGAACTCACTCTCACAACTCTCCGACACAATCTCAACCTTCTGCGCATCTAATAATCCTTTTACTTTAATATCACATGTCACTGCCACTTCCTTGTCCCGTTTCACCAATCCCGTGCCGAATCCCGCATTGAGCCCCATCGTCAATACCAAACTAACCACTTCAGGCGGCAGCAGAGCCGCATTCTTGGACCCTTCTAGCTTTAGGTTAACCGTATGGGATCCGGACACGGCTAGTGACAGCTCCGGGAAATTCCCTTGGCCTAGGTTCTTGTTTTTGTACATCAGAGAGACTAGACCTTTGTAGGTCACCCACATGGTGGAGGTTGGGTTCTTGGATGTCAACATGATCTCGAAATGACGAGATTTCTCGAATTTCTTAACGTTGAAAACCGGAGGTTCGGGCTTGAATACAAAACCGACGATTAGTGCGATGGCGCAGATGATGAATCCGATGACGATCACAGAGATGAATAACCATATGCATCTTTTAGAACAAAAGCTTTTATTATTTCTCCCCAGCTCGCTATTCCTGCGTCTTTCGACGATCCTTGCATTATCCGGGGGAGGGGTCCAATAGACCTGATCCCTCGGAACCTGCACTACGTAGGTCTCGATCGCTGGGATTGGATCAGGAGGAGGAGGAGGAGTAGAAGATGATAAGTGTGGGGAGAGATTCAAAGAATGATTACGTAAATGTTGTGGAGGTGAAGAAACTTGGGAGCCAGATGAAGGAAGTTGGGGGAGGCTGGTGGTGGGACGATGCCACGTAGAAGAAGCATTACCGGTCTTGTTTTCATTGTCATTGCCGGTGGAGGTGGAGGTCGGAGGTAGCGGTGGCCCCTCCATCGGAATAACGGTGAGAAGGAAATGTGTCGTGGTGGAGGGACTGTCGAGAGAGAAGAGAACAGAGGCAATGCGGAAATTAGGGTTTTTGCATGGAGTGGGAGAGTAAGTGGCTGTGGTTGATTTGCGTAACTTCAGTTGGTCTTTCGGACCGGAATTTTCTTGCGTTTACCAACTCAAATGTTTTTCTTCTTCTTTGTTTCCCTAATTATTATTATCACCTTTTTTTTTGTGACAATAAAACATAATTGGGCCGTCGATATGTCATATGTAAAATCATTATAGATTAGTCTCGAGTTCGACACAAAATACTCAAAATTAGGTCTGGGCTTTCGGTTAACCGTTCGGTTATCGGTTAGGTCCATTCGGTTTCGGTTTTTTCAGTTTCAAAATTTAATATCCATTCGGATATTTTGAAATTTCGGTTCGGTTTCGGTTCGGTTCCAGTTCTTTCGGTTTTAAAATTTAGTATCCATTCGGTTATTTTGCTTAGGACATTTTCGGATATTTCGGTTATTTTTGAGTATTTTCGAATATTTTTGGCTATATTTCGGTTATTTTTGAATATTTTGCTATTTTTATATATATTTTCAAGTATTTTTGATTATTTCGTCTATAAATAACTAATTATTTTGAAAATATAATTATATTTCGGGTATTTCGGTTACCCAAAATATTTCGGTTACGGTTATTTTGGTTATAGAATTTAGTATCCATTCGGTTATTTTCAAAATTTTGGTTCGGTTCGATTTTTTTTACTTCGGTTTCGATTCGGTATATTCGGTTCTGTTTATTTGTCGAGGCCAATCAAAATTGTTATATTTAAAGCCCAATAAAACTCAAATTGTTGTATTAAAGCCCAATGCGTTTTTATTTGTCAATTATAAGGCCTGGTAAGCCGAATATTTCATATACAAAACTTTTAAATTAAATCAACCCATAAATAATTTAATTACATAACACAAAATTAGATAAATAAAACATTAGAAAACACACGGAAACGAGCTTGGTCACCAAGAAAAAAAAAAAAAAAAACTTTTTTTCTTGTGTTTTGGTTTTGGCTCTTCACCAAGAAAAAAGATTCTATAGGAGCAAAGTACGGAGATTTTACAGAAAATGAGTCTAAGCGATTCACTCGAATAAGTTTTTTTTGATGAATTGAAAAAAGTTCTGTAAGAAACAGAGAAGAAGAACCAAATTCAATGCTTCCTTGTCGCCGGCTTGTTCTTTCCTGCAAAAATGGTGCATCCAATTTTCTCCGAAGGTTAGTCATATTCTTAAACCCCTCATAAACCCTAATTTTGAGTTGCTTAGGGGATCCTCCTTACCTTCTTGGTTTTTAGTTAAGTAGCACAATTGTTACTTTATCTGCGAAAAAGTCTCTCTCTTTGTTGGAATTTTGATACTGCTGATGTGAATGTTTCTTGTTGGGTTTATCTTCTAAAGTATCAAAATTGAAGTTGGTTACAGAAGAAATTCTTGATCTTGAAACATTAGATTGAATCTTAGCGTTGATTGGTCTCAATTTCAAAACTTTTTTTAGGTCTGGACCATCGAAACGAATTCAGTCATTCAATTACAGTAAATCAACAAGACAGGGCCATGAAATTCCAGATGTTAACCCTCTATTTCCTATGGGAGGAGGAACTCAAGCTTCTTCTCGTTCCCGTGCTCGTTATGCTGTTGTATAGTTTCTAAAAACTCTTGTTGCTTTCACTTGTTTCTTGATTTGGTTCTTTTGTTTGGGACCAATTCGGTGTTATGTTCCCTTTTTTGTTTGCATTTTCAGCCAGCGATTGTACTTGGTTTTGCCGGATTCATCACCTTTCTTCATTACAACGACGAAAGGAGAGCAGTTCCTAGAGGTACTATAGACTTTGATGATGGTTTTTGACACATTGGATTGATAAAGATGAGATCTTTCATGCTACTACTTTTACAGGTCAAGCAAGCAGCAATAGCGGTTGTGGATGCGGTTCTAATACAACTGTCAAAGGTCCAATTATCGGAGGTCCATTTACGCTTATGAGCACAGAAAACAAGATAGTCACAGAGAATGACTTTTGTGGTAAATGGGTTCTACTCTACTTTGGATACTCGTTTTCCCCGGATGTTGGACCCGAGCAATTGAAGATGATGTCCAAAGCAGTTGATAAACTAGGTTGAGTCACTTAAACATAGCTCCAGCCATTTCATTAGTTTCAGATCTTTTCACAATATAATGTGATCTTTTAGTAATGATGTCTTGTCTTGATGGAAACAGAGTCTAAACATAACCAGAAGATTCTGCCTGTCTTTGTCACTCTTGACCCTCAACGAGACACACCTTCTCATCTCCACGCATACTTGAAAGGTCTCTGTTTTACTTCGTGCCTCCGTGTTCCAGCTATTTTTCTAAACCCACTTACGTTTTGTTGCTTGTGTCTTTATGCAGAGTTTGATAGTAGAATACTAGGACTAACTGGAGCTGCAAGTGCAATGAGGCAAATGGCACAAGAGTATCGTGTCTACTTCAAGAAGGTTCAAGAAGACGGAGACGATTATCTCGTTGATACTTCTCACAACATGTAAGGGTTCGTCTTCTCAAATCAAATCGTTTTATGTTCAAAATGTTGATATGTTTTTGTGTATAGGTACTTGATGAATCCGAAGATGGAGATTGTGAGGTGCTTTGGGGTTGAGTATAATCCAGACGAGCTCTCACAAGAGCTTCTTAAAGAAGTTACATCTGTTTCACAATGACACATTTTGACCAAACACTAAAGAGAGAAACACTAGGATGCTCTTTGATTGTTTTCTTCAATTGGTGAATTTTATTTCGTCGATTTTGTTTGTTAATCCTTCTTTATTATTGAAACATGGCAATTAGATGGTAGATCCAGCAAAGTCGAAACTTATTGATACTATAAAAATGCGTTGGGTTTTTTAAATCCAAAATTTCGCATATAGTAATTTTTTATTCTTCAATGTTATTTTTTTTTTGTTAGAGTTGTTTCCTTTTTACTTATTTTCAAATTTTCTTTCAAAGTTTGTAACAGAAGATTTTCCATTATTAAATAATTCTCTGATATTTCTAAATAATGGATAAGCATTATAAGTTAATACATAAGTTAATACATATACACTACTTTTGAATTTTCTTCCTGTAATTCATTTTATTTTTCTATTTTTCATTCTCATTTCCCTATTTTGTAAGTTTTCTTTGTACAAGAATACTACCATTTAATGTAATTATGAAACAGTTTATATAAAATATTATTTAAAAAATAAAATGAAACTGTAAAGTTTAAATAATATACCCATATAAATTAAACACGTTTTTAAATAAAAGAAATAAGTGTTAAAAATCTAAATTATGTATACTAATAAAAACAATTTAACATATTATTTGCAAAACCGTAAAATGTAAGTTTTAACCTTAAAATCATTTTTGGGGTAAAAAATAAATTATGTGTTAATTTATATTATGTGTAAACATTTTGAACCTAGAACAACTCTTAAGTACCAAATAATATGGACAAGATGTTGTGTCCGATTTGTTTTAACAAATTTAAAATTTTACACTTAAAAAAATTAAACAGTTTATCTAAATATTATTTGAAAAATAAAAAAACTTTGAATTTTAAATAGTTATATTTAAATATAAATTAAAAAAACGTTTTCAAATTAAAGAAACAAGTGTTAAAATTTTTAATTATGTATATTTATAAAAATAAAACAGTTTATCCAAAATATTATTTGAAAAAATTAAAAAACTTTTAAATTTTAAATAGTGATATAAATTTAAAAAATAAAAAATAAATAAAGTTTTAAAAATCAAATTATGTATAATTGAAAGCAATTTATCTAAAATATATTATTTGCAAAACCTTTAAAATGTAAATTTAATAAAAAAAATTAAAAACAAATCGGGGAAAAAATAAATTAAGTGTTAAATTTATATTATCAAAATTAAAAATTTAACACTTATAAAAAAGACATAAAACAGCATTTTTTAATAAAAACACAAGTATTAAAAATTTAATTATGTGTAAACCATATTGATTGAACCTAGAACACCTCTTAGGGGTGTGGATGTTGTATCCAATTGGTTTACACAAAATTTAAGAATTTAACACTTATCAAAAAAAGAAAGAAAAAAAAAACAAAACATTAAAAAAAAACAAGGTTAAACTTTAATTATGTGTAAACCATATTGAACCTATAACACCTCTTAGGGGTTTGGATGTTGTATTCAATTAGTTTACACAAAAATTAAAAATTTAACCCTTATCAAAAAAAAAAGAAAAAAAACAAAACATTAATGAAAAACAAGTGTTAAAAATTTAATTATGTGTAAACCATATTGAACCTATAACACCTCTTAGGGGTTTGGATGTTGTGTCCAAATATTTTACACAAAATTTAAGAATTTAACACTTATCAAAAAAAAGAAAAACAAAAACAAAACATTAGAAAAACAAGTGTTAAAAATTTTAATTATGTGTAAACCATATTGAACCTAGAACACCTCTTAGGGGTTTGAATGTTGTATCCAATTAGTTTACACAAAATTTAAGAATTTAACACTTATCAAAAAAAAAAAATTAAAATAAAAAGAAACTTAGGTTTTAGTGGTTTTAGTAGTATAAAACGCAAGAAAATGGAACCCGTATAAAAATAAAATAAAAACATTAGAAAACATTTTCAACTTTTTTGGGCAATTAAGCCAACAGTCGGGCCTCTCGTGAAAAGCCCATACTAAATATTTATTTTAGAAAGCTAAGAGATAGCTTTTATTTATATGGGTATGGGTTAGTAACTGTGTATTAAATTTTCGATGTGGGACTCAATTTTTTTAAAAACGTATTGGGCTTTTAAGTATATGGCGGCTGGAAGATGTGATTATCGGCCCAGTCATAAGCCCATAACCATATCAATAAGATTAAGTGTTAAATTATAGATACAATGTGGACAAATAAACAATATAAATATCACAGAGTTAGTTATCAATGAATACAAACGTGGCATCATTTTTGGCCCAAGGGATTATACTTGGTCCACTCAAATTTCTATTCCGCTTATTAATAATACCGACACCTATAATGCATTCAATCAATTTTATATTTTGATTGTGTTCATGTCCTAGTCTTCTCATTGATTGGGTTCACATTTACACAAGACCGAGACAAATCAAATGCTTCAATTAACCTGTGATTATCTACTAAATCACTCACTAATCATGGGTTAAATTTCGCAAAATAACTTTGAAAAGTTTTATTTATGGAATAATATGATTAACGCCACATTACACTCACAAGACGACGACGACAAAACAAACAATACAGAGACTCTCACGAATCAATACACATCACTTAAACGACCCAAGAAAGCTTTTTCCGGATCTCAGACCCGACCCGACTAACACTATCCCTAAGCTTGACCGGACAATTGTTACGAACGGCGGTGAGCTCATAAGGAGAAGTATCAGTAGCGAGCCATTGCTCAATCTCAAAATCCTGCGTCGAGCACTGTGCGTGAACACCAGCCGTCGTGACCTCAACGTAATTAGCGTACCAACCATGGTGATCACCGGAGCCATCAGAGGTTAGGTTTAAGGCACAGATCGGACTAGGTAAACACGGTGCTCTTCCACTGAAAATGTCGAGATTACCCCTCTCGAAGTAATTGTAATCAGGTCCCATTAATCCACCCCAAGCTTGAAGGTTTTTTATTCCGATGTAGTCACCGTACTTATCGTAGACTCTTGCGCTGATGATCGAATCGGTTCCGGCTTTCCAGATCGATCCGGTTCTGAGATAGAATGTGTATACACAGTCTGGATCATCCTCCTAAATAATCAGAGAGGAATTGAAAAAGTCAGAAATCAAAAAGTCAAAATCTGATCGAGAGTGGTTAGAGATTAAGGAAGTTTACGGCGAAAGCTACGGCGGAGACGGTGGCGAGAAGGAGGAGGAAAGGGAGGACAACGTCGCGGCGAGCCATTTTGTGTTTTTCCGGTGAACGATTTGTTTTTCTTTTTTTTTCTGGAGAGGTGTATTATTAATAGATGCGAATATTATAGAGGAAGGGTTATTATTGGGAATTAACAATTGGGGTAATAATCACGTGTTTTTCGGAGTAGCGTGTATTTTCGACGTGGCAGATTATTACCTGTTGTGATGTGAGAATTGATAAGGATAATTTGAGAAGCTGGTTTCATACACGGCTATTACTCGGCGGGTCGGTAAGGATGAGTTGGTAGATTACGAAATTACCCTTTATGACTGTCTCTCTCTCTGGCCAAGAAAAATATGAACTATATAAACTTTTCCTTATTAATGACTTGATAGTTTGGTCTAATATTAAGAACAATTCAAATTTATATTGAGAATGAGTAAAATTTCCCATTTTTATTTGGTTATATTTGCTGTCAGTTTTTATTAATTTATGGCCAGGCATAATAAACACCACATTATCAATATATTTATATTAAAAATAAAATAAAATAAAATAAAATATATTTATATATTTGTTGATAAAACTAATTCTTCTCAGCGTTTTCGTTTTAAAAAGTGTGTGGGCTTAAAATACCAAATACTAATTATTTTGAATATTTTCTATATGGAGCCTTGTTTTAGGTAAATATTGGGCATAAGGCGTAGGCCCATTTATATCTCTTTCCCATACAAACATTTAGTATTTCTTTGGGGGGGGGGTAACATAAAGGAAAATATTGTTAGTTTGTTTTTTTTTGCAAATTTGATCAAACCCATAGTTAACTAAATTATAAAAACTTATGATTCATATGTAATCAAATTATAGAGAGTGATGATCCTTCAAATTACAATAAGGAAATAAAAAATAAAAATCTAAGTAGACTTCGAAACTACTATCAGAAATGTTATGAAAGATCAGCTAAAAATTTTTGATTCAAAAATGTGCCTCCACATTATTTAAATTAATGCCATTAGTTTTTTTTTTTTGTAATCAAATATTTATTCCAGTACTTAAAAATTGAAATGCAACATCCTTATTTTTGGCGTAAACATTAAAGAGGTTTATATATCGAAATAATATCTCAATCGTTTGAATTGTTATGTTATTTAAATAAATAAAAAAAATCATCATATCCAACGATATCAGTCTATGCGACTTTAGTCCGATCCGATCGTGTCCCGCCACAATCCAAATTCAATTAACCAATCACTTTCATCTCACACGTGTTTGATAAACATTCCTTCATGTTTTTTAGAACGATATCTCCTCAATTAGGATAAAATATATAACTAACGCAAATCTCTATTTCTTCTAGTCAATTATTACATGTTAACTCCAAAAATGTTGACAAAAGCTCAAGAGATCGCCGAAATTAAGACTCAAAAGATCATCGATAGAGATTTTGCAATGTCCAGAACCTATTGATATTAGGTTAAAAGAAAACTACATATTTTTGTATGTATATCAAAACCAGTACATGGAATCGTCTAATATGATATTGTAAGACTAACATAATTAGGTTAATCTGACGATCACTCTTAAAAATATTTTTACTCACACAACATTTTAATAGATGAAAATAGTTAATCGAAGTTAGTGATTGGTTTTTACTTTTTACTACACGTCTCTTTTACTTAGTTGCAATATAATGATTATAAATTCCATACTAATTTGCACTTCAACTAAAGTTTTTGATCATTTAGAAAAAATAAAAGTAGACAAACATTTATAAATGAGTGTGGCTGTGTGGGTAACCAAACAAAATTAAGCCGTATGGGTAAGGTGATAAAAGGGTTATGGCATTTTGGTTAATGGGCCCATAAAATTTTGAATTTTCCTTGATAAAAATATATTATATGATTGATTCTTATTTTCCGACCAAACCTAGTATCTATCAAAATATACACTCAAACCATTATTTATATATCAACTATTCACATTATTGCTTGCAAATTAATCGGGTGAAATAAGTAGAAATGAGTATGTACATATCTTTGTTCATCTTTTGAATTGGTGATTTCGAAATTACTCAGTTGACAAGAGAAACTAATCAATAAAAAATTTATATTGGTGGAACTATATGATGACATCTAATATTTATGATACACATTAATTATTGAATCTGGTCTAAATTAGTGGAAGCCTCCTTGGCACATTGGTTGAACAAGGGTTAATTAATGCTTCTACACCCAAAGGTTTGGGGTTCGAGTCCCAGATACTGCGATTTATTAATAAATTTGCAGATTATTAGAGGCAAGTGTGCAGGAGATCTCCAGCGATGTACAATTATAGCCGTTCGCCAGGATTCTACGCAGAGAGGGAAGTGTCCATTAAGAGCATAAAGAAGGAGGCGAAGGAGGTGAGTATGAAGAAGAAGGTGAAGAAGATGTCGTCTGTCGTGGATCTAATAAAGGTCGGAAGAAATTGTCCGTTGTAGAATCGTCTATGTAACAGTTCTCATAATTTACAATAAATAATAAATCCAGACGTTAAAAAAAAAAAATATATATGGTCTAAATTCACTGACCTAATTATGTCACTATGTAAGGATTAGTAAATAATTAATTGAACAACCCATATGGCTTTAATTATTCTATATCTTTAGAGAATAACGAGAGGAAGATAACTGATTTATCCTAAAATTTTATCGCATAATTTACTTTGATATGAATATACGCACAAATCACGAAGAAAAGTAAGTACCATTTATCAGGAAAAGTAAAGTAATACCATCATAAGATTTGTAGACATATCATTCCTGCAGTGGTAGAAAAACAAAACAAATCATTAGCCGAACCAAATATCTACAATCGAAGTGAATTTGACTATCACCAAAACGAATAAATATAATATAAACCAAACCTTAGATACATGTATATATTATATAGAGTAGACAATAGTGGATGGTGGTAGTGGAACCACTTAATGCGATTTCACCTTCCCTGTTTTTCTCCCTTTCACACAAAAACAAAACAAAATTATTAAAAAATCATGTCACACCAAATGTCTTATTTACCATAATACCCTATCTCATAAACTCCTTAACAATTTAGCTCCCTTAATTAACTCGAGTATCCATTCTCATCTAAATCAATTTCTTACGTTTTCTCTCGTCAAAATCTTTTTTCCTTTTTTTTATCACGAGATGGAGTCCGGTAATAGTAGTAGCATGCAATCTTCAAGCGGCGGTGGCGGAGGAGGAGAGGAAGAGTACGATTCACGCGCCGCCGATCAATCCATCTCCGCCTTCTTCGACCAGCACAACCACCACGTGTCGTCTTTACCCCCGCCGCAACAAAACCACCTCAACCTCCTCCATTTCGACCATAACAACAACAACTCTCTAATACCACCAAATTACTTCAACAACAACAACAACACGTTCTTACCCGTAAACCAACAACTCGACCCGATTTCCCAACCCGACCTCCGAACTTTCTCATCCACGTCATCACTCCCTCCTCCTAACAATATAGGAGTAATCAAGAAAACAAAGAAAAGATCACGAGCATCAAGAAGAGCACCAACGACGGTTCTAACGACGGACACTTCCAACTTCCGAGCGATGGTTCAAGAGTTTACCGGAATCCCAGCTCCACCTCTATTCAACAACTCCGTCGTGAACACCACGCGTCTCAACACCTTCCTCGGCTTGTCTTCTTCTTCGCCAAACACGTACAACACCAACAGTCTCTTGTTACGACCGTTTGCTCAAAAACTCACCTCAACGTCTCCTCTTTTATCCGGATCACAGATTCAGCAATATCAAAACCCTAACAACGGTTTCGAGAATGTGAATCTGCAAGCTCTTCTTCAAGCTCAAATTTCAAACCCTAGAAGCAATGAGCATGATCAGTTTGGCCTTGGTATGATGCAGAGTCCATCTACTAATCCTCCTACGACAACGGCAGCAGCTAACGGGAACATAACCACTGGTGATACTGGAAGCTACGGTGGTTCCGATCATGATCATAATAATGACGGTACTTGGTTATGTTCATCTTCCGACCAGAGAACATAAATATATATGTAGTCCAAAATCAAAGCTAATCTCTTGACATGATTATTCAACAAATTAAACATAGCACATATAGGATGATGAAGTTACTCATTTATATTTTCTATTCCAGTATAAACACTTTATTACTTTTTCTTCTTGTAGGGTTTGCTATTTAATACATGATTAATATGCTTGTTAATTATTTGTTTATCTTAGTTTTTTTTCCATTACTGCATGTAGGTAAGTACTATTTGTTAGTGGATGGATCTCACTTAAATCAGATCTTGTTTGTATATTTTCTTTCTAATATATATAGATTTTTATCATATGGTTATGACAAATATTTGTCAAATATGAAATTTTAATTTCAATACAGTAAGTGGTTTTGGGATCCGTACGATTAATTTTTCTCCTATTAAATATTGGAGTGAATGGTGGCGAAATTTGGGGAATCTTCCACGGCCGCCGGATTCTGGAATATAGTTTTGGGACCATAGTATATAATTATAGACTTAATAGTAGTATATAACTTTTTTATAATTGTTGTGGTAATTTCAAATTTGATAAATTACTGTTCTCCCATGTGCTTTAGTCTTTCTTGGTGTCTTCTTTCACATCATCTACATTAAGAGTCATGTTCCTATAATGATACTTAATCCCATTTAATGTTAATTTTTATTGACTTTACTCTCATTTAACCATACTAACATATTTGAAATTTGAAAAAAAATCCAAGTAATACTTTGAAATGTGATGCCTCTACAAAGTTCTTAGCCTTTTTCTCTTCTTCTCGTTAACTAATCGTTAGATTATTCAACTTAATTTATTATATCTCTGATCTAGTTTCTAATAACAATTTAGAATGTAAAAAAACGAAATGTCATTTTCTACTGTATATAATATAACTACTTTTTTTTTCCTCAATGAGATTTGGTGATGGTCAGTAAAACAAATCATGATATTTGATGAAAAATCTTTTGCTTGTTCATGTGTACAACAAAAGTTCAAATGATTTCTTACAAAAAAAAAGTTCAAATGATTTTGATTTTTTCTGTTCATGGTCCAGTTACACTTAAGTCACCAATGCACCACATACGATACACACCACTTACATAAATATATATCCACAATATGCATATATCATATATGTGTATCTGTATCTAAATGGAATATATAATGATGATTGATGATGATGGTTTATTGTAATGCTGGTGGTTATGGTGGACCATGATATCAAGCTATTGTCGCACTGATGGGTTTTCTATGTATTCAGATGAACGGATCACACCTCCAATACTCGGTTTCATAGTTCAGTGATAAGCCACTAGGTATGGCCATTAATTATGTTACTATCCAAATGATTCGATTCGGGTTCTCTATTTTGTGGCCGATTGGCTCCAAAAATTTAAAAGTTGATGCAAAGAGGATATGAATACCTAATATCAAAATGTGGTGGAGATCTAAATAACTTCGTCGGGAATCTGATAAGATTCACGATCAACAATCAAGAACACTCTAGGTTTTGTTATAGAAAATTAAGATTAGACGTACGTAAAATACATTAATTTATTCCAATATATAGAATAATACTACTGTTATAGCTCTAAAATAGTGAGAAATGTTATAGGGGTTAGACTTTTATCGACCCTATATCTTGAATGCAAGCAAAACCGTGGTGGCTTAATTCTCAAATTGCAGATGGGAGTTAGTGAATGAATTTGTTTTTTATTTTTAAATTTTATTTCTTCATGCTTTGAATATTTTAAGCATTCGATGTATCTTCCTTTTAATGGTCCGTTTTATCTAAAGTCTAAACCCAATCATGTCAAATTAGGAGTACATTTGATAAGTAGCAATTGATCACCAGCAAATTAAGTCAATTACTGTAAGCAATAAGTGATAATTATTTTTTGATTGGTTATAAGAAGTAAAATGTCAATGACTCAATGTGAATATAATATAAGAATAATTAAGGATTAGTGTTTGGACCCCTCTTCAAACATTTTTCATATCTTTTTTATTTTGTTGCTGTTGGAAAATAAATGATACTAGAAATAAAAATGAACAAAAAAAAAAATGATACTAGAAATACAAGTGGGTCCCACAATCATATCCATTGTTGTTGTTTTTTCCCGTTGAACTCCCTAAAGACTCTCAGACCAAAGGCTCTGGCTTCACGCAGATAAGGAAGCAGAGAACGAAACGAAGAATCAAAGAAGAAGAGTCAATCAATGGCGATGTCTACTTTAACACTTACACAATCTCTCTATACACGTTCCTTCAGACCCACCATCTTCTCTTCTTCTTCTTCTTCCTCATCCTTCTCGTGTCTCTGTTCTTCCCCCAATTGCGAGCCGAAACTCTCCGTAAAGAAACGCGTTTTCGGAGTGGGTTTAGGGTTATTAGCTGCTTCGATTCTCTCTCTGACGCCTCTGGACGCAGACGCAACGAGGATTGACTACTACGCCACTGTAGGAGATCCTCTCTGTGAATACAGCTACGCAAAATCGGGACTTGGATTTTGCGATCTCGATGTTGGATTTGGTGATGAAGCCCCTCGTGGCGTTCTCGTCAATGTAATCTATCCATCTCTCTAATTTCCGATTTGCTCTGTTTAGTTTTTTTGGCTTTACCAAAACTCATCACTTTGCTTCTTTTACTACACTCTTGGATTCAAATTTCCAATACATTTGCAAAGTTGTGATATTTTTGATCTAAAGTTTGAGAATTTGGAGTTGTGGTCACAGATCCATTACACGGCGAGGTTTGCAGATGGAACATTGTTTGACAGTAGCTATAAGCGTGCAAGACCACTTACTATGCGAATTGGGGTCGGCAAGGTACAACAAAGAACCATTGTGTTTCTTTTTTAGATTCCATTGTCTTCAATTGCATTGTCTTCAATTGCATTGCTAGCAAAGTTTAAAGGGCTCTATGACTTTATGGGATGGCTTTGCTTCTTGTATTTCGATGTAATGATTCAGCTGATTGTTTAACTGACACTGAGCAATGCAGCTTTGATCTGACCATGAATACTATGATATAGAAGAAAAGTTTTGACCTTTTGGATTGCTATATAGTGAATTTACACTTCTCTTCATTGAAGTGTTTGTTAGTCTCTTTTATTTTTCTTTGTGATTAGGGTGAGCAAATCAGCTGTACCTAAACTCTTGATGTCCAAAACTGGTCAGGTTATTAGGGGTCTAGACCAAGGGATTCTTGGAGGCGAAGGAGTACCTCCTATGCGAGTAGGCAAGTAACTGTATTTTCCTTTGTTCAATGTCCTTCAAAAGCCTGAAAACATATTAGTGCGGTTTTATTTTGCAGGCGGGAAGCGTAAACTTCAGATTCCACCTAAGTTAGCTTATGGACCAGAGCCTGCAGGATGCTTTTCTGGTACTTCCCACCATTCCTTTGTAACTTGTCACTTGTATATGTTATCTTTGCCCCATGCTCACATATAATGTTAAGAAATATATGTATCTCTGAGTAAGAAACCAACTGGTGTATTGGTTTATGCAGGTGACTGTAACATACCTGGAAATGCAACTTTGCTCTATGATATCAACTTTGTTGAGATCTACCCGGGAAGTAATACAAGATGAAGCCAACTCCAATTTTCGTTTGGTAAAGGAAGAAACAACTATGTATATGATGTATATTACCAGGTGATTCCTTTTGACCATCTTCACATGACAATCATTATAATTTCTATGACCAAAAACATCGATAATTTCAACTAAACCAAATGATGGCTTGCTGTTGAATAACAAGACACATATTCTCTACACAAATCTGTTTTTTTTTTTTTGTTGAGTTATGACATTGGAAGATCATGTACTTGCTTAGGTGTATAAGCGTGTGTTAGGTTAGATTCAGTCTAGGTAAGTGATGTAGCCTGTGTCACAGAGATGTACAGAGTTAAGAATAAAGTTGCGCGATGTGATTGTTCATCGGTGTCATATCTCTATTTTTGGTCCCCTCACAACAACTCATGAATCTTTAAGGCCAAAAGAAAGTGTACAACTCTGGTTCTTGCCTACTTGGTATGTAGAAATAAGACACTTCATTTAGGATTTTTCAGGAAAAACACATTGCAGGAACTGATTTTGGGTTCAATTTACAGAGCACCAGAGAGGTTCTTAAAGGCTGATGTTACTTTGTATACATCTGAAGAGCAAGAATCATATCAGTACAATAAGTCCTTCAAAGAATGGTATGGTGGGCTAGTTGTATGTATAGAAAGATTATATGACCCGTGTATGTTTTCTAGTGATGATGATACACATTTTTTAAGCTTTATGTGATCTTTACTATCCATTTTTGGATGTTTCTTTTAGTAATGTATGTAAAAAGAGAAAGAGAGTGGGTGAAAAGAGTTAGAATATTATTGGGGTCCCAAAACACCTAAACCAATAGCAAAAGCCGCATACTAAAGTTATTGGTGACCAAATAAACCCCCCAAAAAAGTCCATGATCCGATCGATTGGACCGATGATTCAAATGAATAGAAAGATAATTCGGTTTGCTTCCAAGTTCTTGCTCTTCAATCACTTTCATGGAAAGTGAGAATTTAAATTCTTCGACCTCCAAACTCCAAAGCGGGTGAGAATAATCTATCTTTGTTATTGTAATTAGTAAGTTTGTAACTAGCATAAATTTTTTTAACTTGTTTCCACTATATCTTCCAATGGTAGAAAAAAAGACACTGATTTACTTATGATATCCAATTGTTTAAGCTACTATAATAGATATTTATTAACATTAATAAACATTCACTTCTAACACCAAGAAATAGCACATGCAAAAGAAGACAAAATCATGAACTAAAAAGACAACAAACACCAAAATTTATAACCCATGTTTATACATATATTATCCGCATAGGATATACATCCCTTTTATTAACTATCTAATTAAGCAAACTACATAATAGAGCAAGCGTTAGGATTATCATCACTAAACAAAGAAGTATAAGAAGGGTCATCGTAGTAAACGGCCATTGTCCCGGTGGTGACGTTTGGGTCCACTTTTCTGACGTAACCAGGCGGTGCTTTCTTATCATAAGCCTGAGCTATGTACGGCTGAGCCACCAAGTTGTACGGTACGTACGGCCATATCTCGGCTTTCTTCCCCGTCGCTTTAGCCTTCTTCAGCACCTTGCTCGCATCCGCATAGCCACTCACTGTCACCTTCTGTTGCTTCTTGTTTACCTCCACTGTTTTCACTCCTAAAAGATATATAAATAAGATTTTAACTGTTAATAATCTGTTATATATATATGGACCTATGGTTATGTACTTATGTTTATGTACATGCATGCATGTATCTGTATACGTTTTAGATAGGAGTGAGCAAACACATCTCATAAGGGACAAAACAAATTCGTACGAGAATTTTGATTATAAAAGAAGAAGTTAGTTACCTTTTAGAGAAGAAAGAGAGTTTTTGATTTTGAGGACACAACCATCACAATCCATTCTAACTTTGAGCTCTACTGTTTGAAACAGCTTCTTCTTCTTCCTCTTTCCATAACTATGGCTTCCTCCATTCCCTATTAGCTCTGATATATACTCCAACGTTCCTCCAACTCCCATCTTGTTGATTTGATCTTTGACTTGTGTCTTCGTTTTTTTTTTCAAGAAATTAACAGATAAAGAAGATTAGTACGTAATGGGTTATTCTTTTATCTCTGTCTCTCAATATGTGTTATGTGTTTGTATAGATATTTGTTTTGGTTTCAGTTTGCAATGAGTTGTTAGCTTGGTTGCCTCGACTTATATATAGGCCTTAATTTTTGATATTTTAATAAAAGAATTAATTTTTGGTATATGATTGTATTGGTACGAAAGAAAAAGTATGTTGTTTATAATTGACACAAAACTAAACTAAATTTGGCCAACTTTATAAAAATATAGAAAAAGATGTCTTTAAGAACTTAGGCTGTAAGCAATATATATGCCATATGTGATTTGGGTAAGAAAGTATTCGATGGAAAAAGTTTGGAATTAAGGGATACTTTAAAATCATACTAAATTCAATCATTTAAAGTATTTGTAACCAATTGTTTTTTTTTGGTTCATATTTGTAACCAATTGTTGAACAAATATATATGTAACTATTTTAACTTAGCATATATACGAAGGTAAGCTTTGTAGGGAATCCGTGTGAATACAATTAAATCATGGAATAATAACTTTAGATTTTTTATTTAAATCTTGTTCTTCACAAGGAAGACAGAAAGAAGGTGAGAGAGCCATGCATTTATTAACGAATTCATAGTACTAATTTATCTAAAGAATAATTAATAGTCGGTTCATTATTAAATTAATTAGGATCAATGATCAAATTTAGCAAAATTTAAAGGTGATATAATAAAAATAGCGAAAACTATCGTGGAGGTTATAAAGTTAGTACTTTACTTACTACGAGACAGCTTCACACGTATGGGGAAGAGATCTCGAGCGTTCAATTGTATACGTGGCAGATATCTGACGGCGCTGATTGGAATACGCGTGTGACGCTGTCTCCTGATTGGAGGAGTTGTGCCACCTCACCTCTCAGCTGTTTCTCTTCACGTATTCATAATTTTACGTAATAATTCAATAATAATATAGAAATACCCATATAATTATTTGGAATGAAGCTAAGGAATATATTTCAACTTCTAAACTTAAATTTGTATGGTTATTATCGTCCAGCGAATACAAATACGTACGTACATTCCTTAAAAATAAAAATTATATTGTTTCTTTCATCTATCAATAAATTTGTCACAAATTCAACTTTTTGGCGGTAACTCATACTACTAATACCAATGGTTAGCTAACAAAATATTATTGTGGAAAAAAAAAAAGCTAACAAAATATTATAAATTGTAGTTATATATATATATATAAGAATATGAAAGGGACTCCACTCGAATAATTAGTGGTAAGTTAGTTGACAAAATTTTATAAATTGTAGTTATATATAAGAATATGAAGGTGACTCCACTCGATCGAATAATTAGTGGTAAGTTAGCTGACAAAATTTTAAAATGTTTTGGAGTTGTCGAGCAAACCTTCAACGTTCGGTACATTTAATAACAAGTTTATGCACTCTTATTAGAGACCGTCGATAAGAAGTATCCCACAGCCGCTAGATTTTTAGTTAAATGTATTTCCTAATTCCTAATTGTATTTTATATGGCATCATTGGCATGATTCTATATAAGAGTTTATCCGATTATCAAAGTATAAGGTTTTTCTTTTTAACATCCGGAGTTCAAACTTTATACATAAAAGAGTTTAAAACTTTATAATGTGGACCTTTGTCGCATTGGGTTTAGTGTGTTATCTTTCTTAGATTCTTAATTTGGATCTAGGATTCACAACAAAATTGCTAAAGAGAACTCACCGAAAGTGAATGCGGTGTCGATTTTAAAATTCATCAACTATCTTTTCTGATTTCTTTATCCTTAGAAAATAATTTGTATTTTCCTTCCAAGAAACGTTTAAATAATTATTTAAAAGTGAAAATGACCACTTAAAATTAAGATTGTAAGTTTTCTTCTCATTCAAGGCAAACGAGAGTAGGAATACAAACGAGAGTAGGAATACAAACGAAGCTAATCCAAAGATGTAGTAAGTACAACGAGGCAACAAATTTTGCAATTGAATCACTACTTTCACGAATTTACACACAAGTAAACAAAAATTCAAGAAAAAGATTACAAACTATAGTATCAATAAACAATTTTAATAATTGGCGTGTAAGAAAATCGATTAAATAAATAAAGAATGACTAAATAGGTATGATTTTGGATTTTACTTGTTGGACAGTTTCGTCGTTTTTCCTCAGCAAATGTTTTCTCCATCGACAAGCATCATTCTGTATCATTTCATATCTTAAAACTATGATATATAATAAGCCTAGTGATACACCATATGATGCCACATCACTACAACAACAATAATCACCAAATCTACATCTTCTGATCCCAATGTAGACAAAAATCATAAATTCGTGAGATTCAATCTTATTTTTGATTCAAACTTTTGTTAACATTCTAACTCAGATAACATCATAGAAAAAGAGAGAGAGAACAGCTGTGATTTAGACATAAACATTGGAATAGAGAATCGTAATTCTTCCTCTTGACCAAAAAAAAGGGTTGGTGCTACTTCGCAAAATGATTGTTACTCCAGGAATCTCTGTATCGAATTCCAAAATAAAAAAAAAGCAATGTACCTCAATGGATGATCTGGGTGGGATTCATGTGAGGCTGACACAAGTTGCATAAGATTGAAGAAGCGTAAGAGCTTGTTCTGTAATGGCTCTGTTTCTTGCACGTCGCACCCAATCACTCACTATTTCCTCTGCTTTACTTCCTTTAACACCTTCTTCTAGTGCTGCTGCTGCTTCTGCTAGTTTTCCTTCCGCCAAGTAATTATCAACCTTTTTAATTACAGATTCGATGCCTCCATTAGAGTGATCCACTTCTTTGAACTGTTTAAGTTGAAAACAAAAAGCCAAAGAATGACGGTTAGACTTCAGAGTTTTTGAGCGCGGAGTATTGGTTTTGTAATTAGCGCACCTTTAGCCAAGATGCTACTTGTGCTAGGGAATGTGCTAAAATTCCTCCGCCACCAGGTGGAATGAGACTGAAGTGTCTAAGTGTTCCTTTCAAGGTATCAAACTGAAAACATAACGACAAGAGAGTAAGAAAAAAGTTGGAACATTTTTTATACCCAAAAACTTTGATTCTGTGTGGGTCACCTTCTGATTCAATTGCAGCACTGTGTCGGTTCCATTGGATCGTGCTTCTTCTGGAAGAGATGATAATACCAAGCCTAGGATTGAATCCTTCTGAGTCCCTTCAAGATAAGTCTGAAGCATATTGATTTCTTTTTGGATTGGCAGTCCTTTCGAGAGTGTATCATCCAGCGCAAGTGCACCCTACAAAATCACAATTTTTATACATATAAAACTTAGTAGGTGGTATAGAAAAGCAGAGTTTCATGACATTAACATGAACCATGACAAAAAATCTTGCATTCGATTCTAACCAATGCAAGCTTGTGAACTGAATGACTTTGACGAGCCTCTTCGGAGCGCGCATAGAACGCCATACTCAGTGCCTTTATCTACAAAAATTAGAAGACAATGCAGAGACAGGGCTAAACATTCAGGAATTTTGCTTATTTACAAAGTGATAGCTAACTCAAGTTGCGTAAGTGGAAAGTTATAACGTGGGTTTGAGTACTTCAAAGTATGCAAAACATAACCGATTCCATTAGAATAGAGACTTCACTTTCACTATCTTTACTAAAAACAATTCCTTCAGTTTATTTGCAGTAACAGCTTTCAACTTTGGTTTAGTACTAACGCACATCTGGGTTCCTACACCTTCTTCCTAATTATGATCTCAAAACAGTCTGTGCAATATTCTAGTACACCATTTTTCTTTACTTACATTGCTATCTGCCTCTGCCATCTTTTCAATTTGTGCTGCCTTTTCTTTTGCAATTTCCGAAATCATCTCAGCTTTTGCCAATTCTTCAACTTTACTCAAAGCCAACTGCGCTTCAGTTTCCTGCAGTAAATACAAATTGTCAGTTATGATTTCCTAAGTCGCAAACACTTTTATCATCAGTTTCCTGCAATGTACACAAACCTTTTGTTCAATTTCAGTTTTGAGCTTATCTTCCATTCTCTCCTGGATTGCTTTGATAGCAGCGGCTGCTTTTGTTCTTTCTCTTTTTAGCTCCTGAATAAAGCAACATTGGCACAAAAAATTATATGAGTCTACCCAGGAACATGGAACCGAGATTGATAGATGTTTACAACTATCCAGTACAAATTCGCATCAAATTGCCCATATTTATAAAATTAGTAAAACATAAAGTAAATATCTGATGCATATGAGCAGTGCCACTGGACATATGTCCTGGACTGAGTTAATCAAGTAGAGATAACGAGATAAAAGCACCTTATCCAATATTGCTGCCTCTTCTATACGCATTAGCTCACGTGCCCTAAGGTCTCTCAACTCATTTTCATACTTCTCCTGAGTACAATCAAAACAATTGCAGTGGTGTGTAAGTTAAAACCTCTTATAAAGCAAAGACAATACGGAATAAAAATATTCATATGACATATTCCGTCTTTTAAGTAACCTTCAAGGCTCGTAATTCTTCAGCAAAAACCTGGGCATCTAAATGGGCCTGTTGCTTCTCAGCTGCATGAATGGCAGCCAGAAAATCAAGTACCAACTTTCCATCCTCAGTCATGTAACCATCTTTCAGCCCCTCGGTTGAGTTAGGAAGACCCTAATTCACAAAACTATTCAGATTAAGCACACTTTCTGCAAATTATCAATCAATATAAAGCACTGGCGTAAGGAACAGAGACAGGAAAATCAAGTTTAAAACCTCAGTTTCTTTAGTTAGTTGCTCCCCTATTGACGGGGACCCAGTGCTTTCAGTATCACTGCCTTCTAGATTGTATTCCTTAAGGAGAGAACCTGGTATTTGTACTTCCCGCTCAATGCCATCCTGTAAGAGAATGATTGATTAGAGATTCATCCCAGGTAACTTATATAGGCCATAGAAAAATCAAGTATTTAAGAGGGGTTTTGAATTCAGCTAAAGCTTCATAAGAACGTCCAGCTCTCCTTAGAGAATAATAGGTATCTAATTCAACTAATTTTAGTTCCCTACATCCCTTCTTCTTAAGAAATCGGTGTCTATCAGAATTTGATGCAGGACAGTTAACATAGTGTCCATATGAATATCCCATTTCAACCAAGATAATAATAAGTTGCACAAAACAAAGAAATGCTTTTAACTCCAACAATGTAGTATAATCCCTTTACATAGATGTATCCCCTTTCAAATTCAAGCAATGCAGGAAAAAGTTGAGCCAAGAAATTTTTCATAAAATGCATGAAACAAGGGAATACTGAGAAATTCAGCTTCTGATTTTAAAATCTGTAAGCTATTCTTTTCATTACGTGTAGCGCTTTTTCAAGTTCAGCTAAGGAAATTTTAGTACCTCAGGTGCCTTTTCAGCGGAAGGATCCTTTGGTGTAGCAGATTCCGTTTCACTTTCTCTATGAACCGAAATAGACTGGGCACTAACAATAGGACTGTCCCCAGGTTTGGGTACAGCTTCCAACTTCACATTTTCTGCCTCAGAAATAATTTCGGAGGGCATGTCCGACTTAAATCCCGAATCTTCAGATTCAGAAATAGGCAAGTTTCTCTCTGCTCTATCAATGACACTTTCTTGAGGTGTGGTCTCCCCTTGGTTCGAAGAAATATATGTAAAACGGTCAGATGATAGATCAGACTCGGGTTGCACTTCTATGTCACTCTGCACTCCCCCAGAAGCTTCAGAATGAGTAACTTCAGGTTGCGTTTCAACTTGACCATCCTTTTCAGTAGAATCTTCAACACCGGAAGGAACGTTCAAATGATGAGCCTCCTCCACTTTGTTAGTAACAGCATCAGAATGAATTCGCTCACTTAATTTCTGCTGTTCTTTCCCCAGATATTGATCCAAATAGCCAGTCTGATACGCTACCAGAAAAGCACCAGCGATCGCAACACCTCCTATAACCACTTTTGAAGAATTTCCTTTAGATTCACTTGGTTTCCCCACAGGAGGAGGAGGAGGAGTCACTTTTGGAGGATCAACTTTTGAGGCATATGGTTTCCCAACGGGTTTAGCTCCAGGGAGACCATTTTTACCAGATGTAGATGCATTTCTCGAAGAACTCAAATGAAACCTCTGATGCAAAACATAACGCAATAAGACCACGAGAGAGAACTCAAACGATGCTAAAAACTAAGAATCATCACTAAAATGTATAACTCACCTGAGCTCCCAAATTCCTCGGGAATCTCTTTATTGACAAACGCGAAGACAGCTCGAGAACCGACCTAAGCAAAATAGCAACAACATAAATCACATTCGGTGAGATTCACAAAAGAATCAAAGCTAATCAAAGTCACAAATAGCTCTCAATTTAGAAAAATCAACAAAATCAGACCCTAAAGCTACGCAACAGGATTGATGGAACAAGAGAATCCAAATTTGATCACTAGGGAATATAATCCCCGATTGAGATAATCATCTAGGGTTAAGGAAACGTACTTCCGAAGCATTATCGCGTTGGTCCTCTCGTGAAGAAAACGCCGAACGATAGAGCGAACAAATGTTAACGACGGACGGAGAAGACTCGGAGCCTCCGGTGAGCAAAAATAATAGTATTCTCCTACTGGAAACCCCCAAAAAAAACGTTTAAGCGTTAAAACGACAGCGTATAAGAGTACTTGAGTAACAAGGGTAATTTAGACATTTCACAATAAATGGTGGTATTTATCATAAGACCCCTTCACTTGAGGTCCTTGAGTTTCTCCCATTATCGACGAACAAGAACCCTAGAATTCGCCTCCTCTTTCCAAAATCCCCAAAACAAAATTTTTATGACGGGATAGAAAATTTCCCAATGTCCGCTCTATCTTTCAATCTCGATTAGAATTCTTCACTCTCTCTCCGTTCCATAGCTTCTGGATTTCGTTTTTAAGGTTTGCGTTCTTCTTCTTTCTTTCTTGTGTTAAGAATTCGAAATCTGGTGTTATGAATTGATTTTAGTCGGAAATTTGAAAAATTTGTAATCTTCCGTAGTGGGTTTTGATTATTGTCTGTTGTTTCGAAGTCTCTCTAATTGTCATTCTTCTTATGCTACGAATTTAGGGTTTTACATTTTTCCGGCCTTCTTTCACCCATCAGAGGAAGTTTCAAGCCTATTTGATGTAAGTCATCTTTAAATTTTCTCTCTTTTGGATTGGTTTTGTTAAAGATTTAATCTTTGTTTTAAATTATAGATTTGCTTCAATTTGCTTTTTGTCCTCTGCGATGAGTTTCTCTAATTTTATATTCAATTTATTTTGTTCAGAAGCAGCTCTCATAAGCTAAGATGTCGTCATCGCCTTTTCCAGTCTTGGACAACCGACCAATTGATAAGTGGAAGGTTACAGAATTGAAAGAAGAGCTTAAAAGACGGAGACTAACAACAAGAGGCTTGAAGGAGGAATTGGTTAGGCGTCTTGATGAAGCACTTCGTGTTGAGCAAGAAGAGTCTGAAAGAATCAACAGTGCTGCTGCTGAAAAAGCCAATCAAGAGGCTCATATGTTTCCTGTTACTGGAGGCAACGTTAATGTTACACCAGATCGTAATCAAACCACTCCTGTTACTCCTGTTGAAGCAGCATTTAGCACTGAGACAACTCCTGTTGCAGCTGAGAAAACCCCAGAACCAATTCAGGCTAAGACAACAACTGAAGCTTCAGCTGGTGTTGAAACAACACCAACCCCAGTATTTTCAAAACCAGCGGTTAACCCGGTGCCATTCGCTAGTGATGAAGTTGAGAAAGTTGATGATGTTAGAGACATAGCTGGTCTTGATAGTTCAGTGGTTGCATGTGATGCAGCAGTTGTGGACGTGGCCTCTAGTGAGCACAAATCTGAGAATAAGGAACCATTTAGTGGGTTGGATGGTGGGGATTCTAAGGCTCAACCATCAGAGGCAGTGCTTGAAAAATCTGCTATGAACAACCAGGTATCTGAGGTCATCCCCATTACAGGGTTTGAGGTAAAATCTGATTGTATTTCTACTGATTCTGTGTCAAATAATGAAAAAATAGAACTAAAGGATAACAAAATTGCTGATAATGTCAAATTAGAACAAAATGTTAATAAGTTCCAAGAGCCATCAACAGTCGTTGGCGAATCGCATCCAATGGATGTCGAGGAGCCACTTGAGCAGAAGAAATCTGTTGGAGGTGGAGATGACAGCAATGCTGCAAATGCAGATATGACCAAAGAAAATAATATTATCGATGCAGGCGACTCAGAAAAGTTGAATTTAGATAGAAGTTCTGGTGATGAGTCTATGGAGGATGAGCCAGAGACAAAGCAAACTGAGTCAATTACATCTGTTGATAAGAGTGAGAAAATTGAAACCCTTTCTAAGGAGGAAAGCCGTGCTGATAGGGATGCTGGGAAAGGGAAAGCCCCTGAAAATAAAAGTCATCCACTGGTGGCTTCTGACAAAAGAAAGCTTCCTGCTAATGGTAAGTCTTCTCTTTTTCGTTTGTTTTTTCAATCAATTAGTTTGCTGTGTTTACTCTTGTTATGTTGGTGAGGCATATTTTGCTAGTCTTTAATAATAGTTGTTTCATCTTTGTGTTTATGGCTATCTGTTGGCTTGTGAAGCATCTCTGTTGAAATTCAAGCTACATATGCTGAAATGTCTTTATTTGTGCCTCAATGTAGATCAAGAAGCTGTTGGAAACAATGAGCCTGCAAAGAGGCAACGCCGATGGAACTCTGAAAGTATTAATGTTCCTGAAGCACAGACCACGAATAGTGCTACACCCACTACAACACCAAGGTCGATCGGTCTGAAGCGCGACTTCTCAAGATCTGACTCTTCGGTTAGTGAGGATGGACTCAAGGAACGTGTGGGTATGTAATTCAGCACCCCCTCTATGTATGTTTCCATCTCTTATTCATTGTCTTAAAGCGTTGTTTGATAGATGTGTTCAATTATTCATTGGCAGTTCCTCCATCTCCAAAGGAGCCTACAAATTCCCTCAGGATTGATCGTTTCCTAAGGCCGTTCACACTGAAAGCTGTTCAGGAACTCCTGGGTAAAACCGGAAATGTCACTAGTTTCTGGATGGACCACATTAAGACCCATTGCTATGTATCAGTAAGACTGCTTCTTTAATCCTTTTGATTTACAAAAATGTCGACTCTGTTTGTGTTCTTTCGAATTCAGTTATCTAAATATCCAGAGAATATCGTGTAACATGAGTGAGTTGTGACGTGACTGCAGTATCCCTCTGTTGAAGAAGCTGCAGCAACAAGAGAAGCAGTGTATAACCTCCAATGGCCACCTAATGGAGGCCGCCATCTGATAGCTGAATTTGTCAGACCAGAAGAAGTAAAAGCAAAACTGGAAGCTCCTCTACCTCCTCCTCCTCAGCCTCAGCATCAGCATCAGCCACAAGCTCAGACTCTTTCGCGGCCACCTCCAACCGCTCTTCCACCACCACCACCTCTGGCCAAACCACCTCCTGTCGTAGAACGTCTTCCTCTTCCTCCCCCTCCTCCTCTAGTCTCTGAGGAGCAAGAACCTCCCATTGTCACTCTTGATGATCTTTTCAAGAAGACAAAAGCAATCCCCAGGATATATTACTTACCCTTGTCAGAGGAGCAAGTTGCAGCTAAACTTGCAGCTAATAATAACAAGTGATCTTGCTGGTTTGTGGGCATTTCATGTCATTATTTTCGTAGCAGGCTCTTAGGAATTTAGCTCAGTGCGGACAAAAGTTGAGGACTTTGTTGAGTTTGGTTTGTTATTTTTAATGTAGAACGCATGAAAAGACCTTATGTTTAGTAGACTTTGGTTTGAACCTTTGATGAACTAACAGAGTTGTTTGGCTCTGTGTGTGTTGGACCTTTTCCTCTCCATTTCTTTTTTTACCTTTTCATGGAGCTATGAACAGTTGTTGGTTCAAAAATAAAATAATAGCAGTCCAATATTACCAAATTACAAATCTTGTAATATACTTGTAAATCAAATGGGCGTGTGTCAATGGAATAACCTTTAACACTTGATTAACATAACACCAATTAACACACAAATTGTACACTTTCACAAAACTACAAAAACACGACCAAGATACGTTTTGGACACATCACACATACATACATAATTACATGCAAACATAAAGGACAAATACTTGAGAGAGAAGTCTTTGAATAACCTCTTCAAGAATTTCATTACACTTTGAAATTCACTTTTGGGATTTGATCTCTACTTGTTCATAAGATAAACGAGAAGGATAGATTTTATTAGAAATCCTTCCCGAGGCAAAAGGGGTTTCGACATCACGGCTATGAGTTTCATCGTGGCCGAAGTTTCTCTCTTTTTCTCTCTTTTTCATCTTCTCCTTTTGCTTCTTCTGCATGACTTGTAGGTGTGCGTAACTTGCTCCGATGGACGACATTTCTTTTTAGTGTTAATTAACGAAATAAATGTTGTAAAGAACAATATGTAGTTAAGAGTTTCGAAGTGAAGGTTGAGTTTGTAGAAGAGTGCCTATTTATTTATAGAGGTTTCTGCGATTTCATTGCTGCCCTTAATTATAATATCTTTTTCTCTTTTATAGCTTGATTTCTTAAACCATGGTGATTAAACTATGGGGAGTCGGTTCTTCCACAAATTAACATATTATTTAATAATGATTCATTAAAAGTATGTAAATTACTTATAGGGGAGGTTTTATCTACTTTAAGGGCGGCTCTTATACCAGCGGCACAAACTATGGTCCAATACATTCACATCTTCGACATATAAAATATGATTAACCTTTGCATGGTTCGCTAAGGAATCTGTAATTATTTTTAGATTTTATCATAGATTTAATTTAACGGTAGTCTGGGGATGATGATAATTTAGATCTTTCAAGTTTCAAAAATGACGAAATGATAGAATTAACAGTATATGTCTAAATTAAATAAGAACACAAATATGAAGATGATTAGAAATTTGGTATCTATATAAATTTGTGCACATAATATCTTATCTGGTGTTTTACAATATATATATATATATATCTTATCTGGTATGTTGAACCACTAACATGTAGTTGCTTTATAGTAGATAACAATAAAAATGCCTTGATCAAACACAACAAGTGAAGAACAAAGATTTAAGTACTTAGAAGGTTACCAACTAGATGGCTTTGATCCAATAAACTATAGCTTCCAATTCTACAACATGCAAATAAGAACATTATCTTTCTCTCTTCAGAGAAAATAATTATCTCTCCATTGGGTTAACGTTTAGAATGATCATTGGTGCATTTAGAAACGTTTTAGAGGTTAAAAATATAATATCTCTAGATTATATTTCACTTAATTATGTGTATATAATAATATATCATAGCCCAATATTCGAGTCAGATACTACAATTTATATTAATTTTTAGAAAATAAAACAAGAAACTGCATATAAATATGATGATATATAATTTTTTAACCAATTAAGTCAAATTTTACATAAAATAGTAATAAATTGGACTCCGACTACTTGCCACTAATCTCCAATCCCCACATACGTACTCATTAATATAATATATTTTGATGTTCACCAAAAAAAAAAATATATATATTTTGATTGATTACATTTTTTTTCTTATATATTTCTAAAATACCCACAGAAAATCCATCGATGAAGATGAAGAATGACATCAGATGTGGTTCTTCCTAATACTTACTTACACTTTTAGATGAAGCCTTTATGGCCTGAAACTAAAGTTTAAATGTTGGATTATCTTTACTCGTTTGATAATCCTTTTGATGTAATATTTTAGTGATACCTCTAGTTTGTTTGTGGTTGATTCCACAGTTGTAACAGTCTGAACTGGTTCCCCTTTTTGGTATAAAACTCAGACTTTTAGTGAAAAAAAAAAAAATCCATCGATAATCCAATATATATGGACACAGATTATATCATAGTTTTTTTTTTTTTTTTTTTCCGTCTGAATTATTCCATTATATAATACGATTGAAGGATACAAGGGTGGGATGCGGTTTTGGTACACAAAGCCGGCAAGAGATAAACTCTTCCAGAAACAAAGCCGGCGGAAAACAGATATATCCCCGGAAACTAAGCCCAAACAAGGGAAGCAGAATGGAGATAACTGGGATCAAAACCCCAAAAGACAAAACAAAAGCAAGACTAAAAATAACTCTAAAGATAAAGACTTGCCATAAAACTAGCTCCCTAGAACCAAAATGATCAAAGCCAAACACAACACACATCTGGCGAATCCTCCTATAGTGAACCAATACTACCTTTCAAAACAAAGTGAACCTAGGCTACCATTCTGGCAAGAGAGAATCAAGATAAAGCATCTAAACTCCCATACTACTCCCAAAAGCGGCGATATCGACTTAGCGATGATTGAACGCCTCATTAGAAGCCTTTGAACCGACCAGACCTCGATCAGGTCTTAAACGTAGAAACAAGGAGCGAGACAATTCTTCAACCGGATGAAACCAATCTCAAAAGAGAGCAGCACAAGATCGAACCGGGAAGAAAACCATAAAGACCACCACAAGAACCAGGGAGCAAGAGCAAACAAGTCCAAAAACCAAATAGAGATCAAGCTAGTCACTACAAATGTTTCGGGTAAAACCATCCAAATCAAGGAAAGGATACTACCAACCAACAAAACACAAAGAGGAAGCAGGAGAGACGAGAGAGGGACTGAGCCACCGAGAACAGAGCCGCTGTTGCTCAGATCCGTGAGGGAAGAGACAAGACGACGATCCACACCATGAGGCATAAACGAGAACGGCGACTCCATCTTCACCATCTACCTTAAGGCACCTCGAATTCAGTCTCTTAGAACCAAACCTCTCTAGATCTGAGATTCGGCACAACCCAATCCACCTCACCAAAATCACCACGCTTCACAGCCGAGATTATATCATAGTGATAATGATGATATTATATTAAAGTCAGAAAAAAAAAAAAAAGATATTATATTAAAGTCTATGCTTAGAGCTCAAAGCTAGTAAGGCCGTAAGGGGATGTTAATTAAGTATATTCATGAGAAAGTAATATCATTAGCACCAAACTCTTTGTAATTAGCACACCCTATAAGGAAACTTAAAGTTGAGATTCTTTAAGGATGGGACACACGCATTCACCAACATATTTTTTTTTGGTTTTCATAACACTTCTAAATTTGGTACTATAATGGATCACTGCAATTGACCGCCTCAATTTCCACTTAGATTAACACTAATTAATTAGTTCTACAGAAACGAGTGAGACATGGAATTCAGTGGACCGAGTTTAGTATGTTTGGTAATGGACAATACTTGCCACTCCACTGTCGAAATCTACATCATTAAATAAATCAATCACTCATCAATATCTTATTCTATTGTTATTATTATTGATTGTTATGTTTGGAATTAAGAATTTAAAGGTTATTTTTATGGCAAATTAATGGGATTGCCTTTTCATAATTCATCGTGAATAGTTAGTTTATATATGTACTAGTCCATATCCATACGTGTTTTTTTTTCTTCTAATATCATAAATACTTATATTTTTATTTGGGTGTTCTAAAAAGCTTATACAAACATTATCTCCTACCAATTTTATTGGAAATAATCTAATTAGTTTGGAGCCAATAACAAGTGATTAGGGGGCAATCTGCCAATCTGTCTCATACGTCTCCCTAAAGGCCAATCCATAAACCTAATCACATTCTTCTTTTTCTCTTCTTGGCCTCTCTTCATGCTTATCCGAAATCATTCAGACCAAATTTAAAATCAAACAAAGGTTATAAGGTATACTAGTTACTCAATTAAAAGTTTTATAAACATGCATATAAAACAACATTAATAATTGACCTTGACATGTGGGATAACCGTTAACTCTTTGTGATAATGATGTTAATGTATATTCGAGTACAAATCGGGTAGAGTGTATGTGAAAAAAAAAAAAATTCTTTGATACGCAACAAGTAAATATAGTTAACGCAATAATCATTATGAAAATCACGGAATCAGATCTTTCTCAAAAAAGAATCTTTGATACGCAACAAAAATTGTCTGAGCCCGGGTTCGAACCGGGGACCTCTAGTGTGTGAGACTAGCGTGATAACCGACTACACCACCCAGACTTTGTTGACTATACTTTGACATTAAATTAAATGAAATAGTAAGTATCCGGTAGACGACGCGTTTGACTTACACATAACGTAACTGTTGATTAAGTCATGGATTCATGAACTTTATGATAAATAAACGTAAGATCAACCGAGATATTGAAAATGAAGATGCGGACTAATCAGAATCACGAAGGAACTGATGTAATTAAAAACTAGAGGAAAATGCGTTTTTCGTTTTAAGAACGTTTTGATTTCCTCAACGCGTTACATAAGGTGAGCAACAATTTTTTGGGGAAGTCTCAGACAAAAGCTCCAATTTAAATTTACATAAACCAAAATTAATAAAAAATAATAGTAATTTACAAGGATAACTTTTTTCAATTTGTCTTAATGTAGAACAAAAAATTTACCAATCGAGTTTAATGTTCCTTTCAATGTAAAGCTTGTCAATATATTCTATGATAGGTCGCGATGCTTCCATGTACCTCCTCATGTTCTTCTCAACCGATTGATCAGTTTCATTGAGCCGTAAGAGAAGTTGATCCCTCGTCGGAAGTGTATACATTCCGGCGTAAACCGCGGTCCTAACTGCCCATGTATGGAACGGTGCGCAGACTTCGGTGTAAGCCGTGGTCGCAGCGTCTTTCAAGGAATAATCATCAGCGATCAAGAATTGTTCAAAGATGGCTCGGATCAGATCTAAACCTTGTCTAACACGTCTTAGGTTACGCGAATGGCTTCCCGGTGTTTTAACCGTTTCTTTCTCCACGTCTAGATCAAGAATGTTCTGTAACGTGTCGAACGTTTTTGACGCCTCAACCAAATCCTTAACCTTAGCGATGTACTCCATTTCCGCAAATTTGAAAGCGAATCCAAGACAATTGAAGAGAACAGAGACATGAGTACACGCACTGCAGAAATCACAAAGCCTTAATCCGTCTTCGTCTTCTTCGATCTCATCAGACCGTTGCGGTTTCAGCAGATCCGCAAGATCTTCGAAGGCCTCTGTGATTACGGACAAAGGCGTGTTGACTCTGGCTGGCGTGGTACACACGGCGTCTTCGAACATGTCTTCTTCTTCCTGATCTTCTTCTTCTTCTTCCATTGCTTTGTGTCTCTCCTCCTCTTTCTTATATAGCTTCGCCACGATTGCTGAATTTTGTTGAAAACTCTGAATTTTGTTGATTGTGATTGTGATTGTGATGGGTCAGAGAGGAGAAACGTATTTACGAAGAAATGGGAGGAGACGTGTTGTGATTCTGGAAGAATGGGAAACGTAGACTTGCGACTTTTTGTTTTGGAACGTGTATGACTTTTCGGGTCCACCGTTAATTTATTATGGGATTTTTAACTATACAAAGAATAATTAATGGCTATAAATGCTTGTACTTATTTTGGTGAAAGAAATAAGATCTAAGTAAAAAAAATCAAATTGAGGTTCGCAATGTCATATTTGTCAAACAAATATCTTGTACACATGTTTTTCTATTACTAAATTAATTATTAAATCCACAAATATTGATTATAAATGATATCAAAAATTTAATAAAGTCTTTAGCAGGAAAAAAAAAATTAAATTAAATCTTTGTAATCCTTCCATAGTAGAAGGTTTATTGGTTCATGGATTTGATATCCAAACAAAATCATGTGTTATTGATTTCAAAAAAAAAAAATTAAAATCATGTATTGTTTGGTTCTAGTATAAATTATAAATACTAGTTAAATCTATCCATTTTTTTTAGCTTTACGTGATCTTTACTATCCATTGTTTGGAAAACATCGAATGTCTCTTTTATGTAAACACTTATTTTACTTAGGTTACACGAAATAAGTTTCATCGTTAGATTCCAGTGTATTTGGTAGTTTAGATGATTGCTCAACTTAGGTTTAGATGAAAAAAGTTTTTATCTGGCTAGGAATACTAAGGTCTAAAAGAAAAGTTTTGACCTTTTGGATTGCATTGCATTATAGTGAATTTGCAGTTTTCTTCGTTGAAGTTAGTTAGTTTCAAAGAAAAAGATGATTAGGTTAGATTCGGTTTCAGCTTGTGTAACAAATAAAGATGTACAAAGAAGTCTAGAAAGAAAGCGGGCAGTGGGGTAAGGTTGGGAGGGCCAGATAGATGGTCCATTTAGAGAGAATGAGGATCGGCGAGATTTGGGAGTATTAGGGTTTTGCAGCGCTTTTAGAAAGAAAAGGTTAAAAGAGGATAAGGAAGAGTGAAAAAAAGGCAGTCGACAAGAGCAGCACGATGAAGCCGAAGACCAGTGTTCTACCGTTAACGTTGGATGAGAGTGATGAAGTGTTGGACGAGTGGTACAAAGAGGTGTGTTACTGTGGTGGGATGGTGGAATATTACCCGATAGACGGCAGTTACGTTCTATTCGACACCCCAATGCAGAAGCAAAACAAAGAGTTCCTATGAGAGACAAACAAAAAATTTGTGGTAAACCACACACAACAAAGAAAAAAAGTTTAGATATAAGAAATTGTATATAGATCCATTGGTGGCTGAGCTACAAGGTTAGCATTAACTAGTTACTAGTACTTATTTTGCACTTGATTAAAATTCCCACTAGATCTTTAGGGCTAGCTCTAAAATACACTCACGACTGCGACTTATTTAAACTCACTTGTGACACGGTCTTTAAGATAACAAAACACTCTTTATTCTATTTGAAAAAAAAATGTTAAAATGATTTTAATCTTATTTAATGTTTGGGTGCTCGCCAACATAGATAATCTCGTCGTGGGGATTAATCTCCAATACTTACTTGGATAGACAGCGAACGTCTTGACGTTGTGTTGTGAAGATTCATGCTTGGTGATCAGGTTGAGAGCAATGACAATTTTTATCAGTTTTTATTCCAGAGAAAACAATGGTTTGTTGGTCAAAATGTTGGCAATGATGGCCACGATTCTCTCCGTCTCGCCAACTCACGACTTCTGTTTGAGAGGCTAGCTGATCTGCGTGATGTTATTCAATACGACGACTTGGTTTTTGAACGTCAGTTAAGGGAAATGGCTTTCGGTTACAATATGCGGACTACACCCTTAGATCCGCTTCACGGTCATGCGAGCGATACTTTGTCAACGCCTTGCCTCATCTAACGAGGAGAATCTGAGAATTCGAACTAATACTGATATTTTAGCTGGCGGTCAAGCTGTTACCTTTGTCGCTGCTGAAGATGAAGATGACGAATGATCATCTCGTGTTTTAAAGATGTGTGAAAGACTGACCATATCATATCCAAATTTAGTTTTTATTTAATGTTTGGTGTCATTAGTGTCTTAGCTGTAGACTAGAGAACTAGATGCTATCCAAATTGTCTTTATATGATGTTTTGTGTCAATAATGTCTTAGCTATCTGCAGTCATTCACACATCTTTAAAACACATTATTTAAAAAAAAAAATCAATAAATCTATTGTCGAAATATATTTCAAGGATAAAATAATGAGTAAAGATAATCAAATTTATTGAAATTGAAATCTATTGTCTAAATATATTTCAAGAATAAAAATAATGTGTAAAGATAATCAAATTTAGTGAAATATTTCACCATTAATATTTGATAAAACAAGCTTCCCTAAAGCAAAGCAAATAGTTCATATAAGAGACAAACAAAAAAATTATGTTAAAACACACACAACAAAGAAAAAAATGTTTAGATATAAGAAATTGTACCTAGATCCATTGGTGGCTGAACCATAAGGTTAGCATTAACTAGTTAGTACTCATTTTGCACTTGATTAAAGTTCCCACTAAATCTTTAAGGCTAAGCTCTAAAATACACTCACGACTGTGCATAATTCAAACTCACTTGCGACACGGTCTTCAAGATAACAAAACACTTTTCAATCTATTTGAAAAAAATGTTAAAACCTTAAGCTAAATGTCACTCATTACCGAGCTTACAATTTCCATTAGTCAAATAGGCATCAATATGACCCAAGAAACCTAGACTGAGCAATTTCTCCTTGCTTAAACCAAGAGCTCTTCAATTTATCTATTTTTTTTATTTTATTGTTGGTTAGGTTTAATTCACCTAAACCAACATTTTGCACCTATATTTATGCAATTGGTTTTGGATTTATTCATCTAAGACTGAGAACTAACAACACTGGGAAATAAAATTTTCTTCTTTATTCTCAAATCAAAGGAGATGAGACTTGGATTGGTTCGTTACAAAGACGCGGAAACATTAAAACGGATCATACGGTTAAAAACTTTCATTGGCTTTGTTTCATCCTTGTTCACAACCTGGAGATGGAATAGTCCAATGCATTTACCAAGAAATCTGGGGATACATTACAAACACACAAATTCATTATAGATATTATACAATCTCGTTTTGTTCATTATAGATGATTTTTTGCTTTGGTTTCGGTTCGGTTTATTTGTCCAGACCTAGGGGTAAGATTGGTTGGGCCAGATAGATGGCCCATTTAGAGAGAGTGAGGGTCGGCGACATTTGGGAGTATTAGGGTTTTGTGGCGCAAAAAGGTAAAAAGAGGATAAGGAGAGTGAAAAAAACGCAGTCGACAAGAGCACGATGAAACCTAAGACCAGTGTTCGACCGTTGGATGAGAGTGATGAAGTGTTGGACGAGTGGTACAAAGAGGTGTGTTACTGTGGTGGGATGGTGGAATATTACCCGATAGAGGGCAGTTACGTTTTACTCGACACCCCAATGCAGATTTGGGATCAAATCAAGGTTTGTAAAATTAAAGAAAAATCGTAGTTTGTTTGGAATTTGCTTCTGATGTTTGTTGGGTTTTCTTTGGCTCTAGCTTTAAACGCATGTCTCATGTCTAGTAGGAAGTATTGTTCCCATCTGTTGTTTGGTGTCTCTCTAGTCTAAACCCTTTGTAATCTCTGTATGTCTCGTGTTTCTAAATCTCAGTGTCTGCTTGAGGCGTAACTGTTACTGTTTGTGTGTTAAACGCAAGTCTCATGTCTAATAGGAAGCACTGTTCCTGTGTTATCTCTCTGCCTCTCTTGATTTTTGTAATCTCTGTATCTATCGTGCGCCTTACAGGTCTTGTTTGATAGTTCTGCATTGTTAGGCTAAACCCCGTTTAATCTCCTGTTTTGTCTCTTACCCTAGCTGTCTTTACTCTCCTTGTTTTGAAAACGCATCCAATCCAATGTTTCATAGTTATTACTTGTTTGTTAACTCGGGATGTCTCTGTCTGTTGCCCGTCTAATTAAGGCCTAACTTAGTTTGTTTGTCCTTGTTTGGTATCTCTGTTTCTATCACTATTTCTCACTTGACCCTAACTCTTTGCGTCTACTTTTTTTTTTTCTTGTTTGATACCTCTGCATTGGTGGGCTTAAAACAACCCTTTGTAATCTATGTATGTATTCTATCTCTGTCTGTCTCTTAAGCCTAACTGTTCTGTCTACTTTATTTGCAGAACTTTCTTGATGTTGAGATGAAAATTATGAACGTGAAGAAGTGCCACTTCCCACTCTCCTCAAAGGTGAACTCTTGTGCAGACGCTCTGAAGAACTCAATGTATCCGTATCTCAGAAAGTGGATCAGGTCTCCCTCAGACTTGCCTTTGAAGCTGAACCAATGGTGCAATGCTCCAAGGCGTAAGCTCATCACCCCAACTCCGTTTCTCAGGTATCACCAAAACTTCTTTTCCCTTTTTCGTTTCCCTTTTTCTTTTTGCTGTCACTAACTTAAATCTTTCTCTGATTTCAGGTGCCGTGAATTCATGTGGCAAGAAGGACACGGTGCCTTTGCCACTAAGAAAGAGGCCAACGGTGATCTTCTTAAAGTCTTGGAAATGTATCGCTGCCTCTACGAAGAATTACTTGCTGTACCGGTTCTACTAGGCCGGAAGAGCGACAATGAGAAGCTAGTTGGTGGACTATACTCCACTTCTGCTCAGGTGAACCATCTTCTCTCCCCCTTTGCTCATAGGCACATTGATCTGTAATACAGAAATATGCCTAATATGCTCTTCCTTGTTGAAAATTACACTTGCTAGTGCTCATCCATCCTCCTTTTCAGGTTTTCATTCCCGAAACCGGCCATGGTGTGGAAGGTGCTTCAGCCCACTGTTTGGGACAGACCTATGCCAAGACTTTCAACATCTTGTTCGAGGATAAGAATGGAGAGAAGGCAATGGTGTGGCAGACATCTTGGGACCTCAATACCACTGCGGTAAATGAATTTCTGCTATCCCCCTCTCTTACTCTGCCTTCCCAGATCAGATTCTTTTCTTACTCTGTTTCTTGGTTTTTCTTCTCGGTTTCAGATTGGGCTGATGCTTATGATTCATGGAGATGACAAAGGCTTGGTGCTCCCTCCTAGAGTTGCACCTGTTCAAGTTGTCGTGATTCCAGAGATCTGCCAAGGAGTTGATGCCAAAAGAATATATGATGCTTGTGAGGATATTGCCTTGAACTTGGAAAGATCTAGCTTCTTTGTTGAAGTGGAGAAACGTCGGAACATTCCTCTCTCTACCAGGCACACACTGTGGGAGCGGAAAGGAGTTCCACTGAGAATTCAGATTGGACCTGCACAGTTGGACAACAATACGGTAGTGGCTGCTTTTCTTATATCTTGAATTCCTGATATGGTTGTGGAGCAGCAGTTTTCTTATTTCTTTTTTTTTCTTTGCTAGGCTGTCTTAGTTAGACGCGACGATGGATGTAAGAAATCCGTCTCGAGAGACAGTTTGGCCGATGATGTCCATGCCATTCTGGAAGATATCCAAGGCAGCCTCTTCAAGAAGGCCAAAACGAAGAGGGATTCTTGCGTGGAAGAGGTGGAGGATTGGGCGCAGTTCCTCAAAGCGTTGAAGAAGAGACGTCTTGTTCTCGCTCCGTGGTGCGATGAAGAGGGAGTCGAGATGGACATCAAGAGACGCTCAGATGGATTGGCAAAGCATTTTGGGACGCCATTCTCTCAGCCACCAATGAGTCTAGGTACAGTTTATTATATCTAAACATTTTTTTCTTTGTTGTGTGTGTGTGTTTAACACGTTTTTTTTGTTTGTCTCTTACAGGAACTCTTTGCTTTGCTTCTGGGAAGCTTGCAAAGAGTTGGTCCTACTGGACTTGGACTTCTTGCTGAAGAGGTTTGGATGAAAGACTCAGGAGGTTTAGGTGTGGTTTAGGTGTTTTTGATGCTCCTTTTTGGTTATTTTGTTAGTTACCCGAAAGTTGTAACTATTTAAATCTAAAGAAAAATACTAAACAATGGATAGCTAAAAAAGATCTTTTGTAAAGCTAAAAATAATCTTTTGTTAAGCTCTGAATATGATTAGGGTTTTTTGGAGTTTGGAATCCCAAAATTTTAAATTCTCACTTTGTATGTAAAGTGATTGTAGAGTAAGACTTTATATACGAACCGAACTATCTTCGTATTCATCTGAATCATCAGTTCAATCTATAAGGATCATCGATTTCTTTTTGGTGGGTGTCATTTGGTTACCAATAATTTAAGTACGAGACTCTTGCTTTTGGTTTATGGTTCTAATCACTTAGATGACCTTTGTTGCTAAGTGACAAATCGATCACCAGCAAATAAAGTCATTACTTAAAGAAATAAGTCTTCTTAGTCACGGCGCATCATCTAGCTCAGGAATTTGATTTTTATATTGTCTAAAAATTTCAACACAAAATATATGATGAAGAAAAAAAAAAGAAACAAGGAAAACAAACTCAGGGAAATTTTTTTTTGTTAAAAAGACACAGAAACAGATCACACGGTTGAAAACTCTCATTGGCTTTGTTTCATCCTTGTTCACAACCTCGAGATGGAATAGTCCAATGCATCTACCAAGAAATCTGTTGATACATTACAAACACACAAATTCATTTAAATTATACAATCTTGTTTTATTCTTTAGTGAAACTTCAAAATTTTAAGCAAATATATAAAATACGAATTTACCTGCATCATCTTTAGTGAAACACATTGGTGGCTTTATCCTGAAAACGTTCCCATGAAGTCCTCCTTTTCCAACGAGAATTCCAAGTTCTTCATTAAGAGAAAGGAGCAAAACATTTTTTGTTAACCAACTGATGCTCTAATACCTGTAAAATCGATGCATTTAGCTTTAATGTTTCTTTACCTCTAAGTTGCTCAAACAAGACAGCTGTTTCAGCCTTGGCTGGTGTCTTGTCTTTCCGGTCACTCACAAGCTCGATCCCAACCATTAGTCCTCTTCCTCTCACATCTCCAATGACTGAAACCAAACAGACACGGTTGTAAGTAAGTAAAAACAGAGTAACCATCTGATTAAGAAAAGCTCAAAGATTGTTTGGTACTTACTATCATGTCTTTTCTGCAGATCTTTCAAACGTTGAATAAGGTGTGAACCAACTTCAGCACAATGTTCTTGGCGTTTCTCCTTGTCAATAACGTTTAGAACAGCAAGTCCACCAGCTGAACAAACCGGGTTTCCACCAAATGTGTTGAACAGAATCTTGCTAGCTAAAACACTCGCGATTTCTGGTGTAGTCACCACAGCTCCTAATGGCAATCCATTTCCAATTCCCTGTGTATTGAACCGGTGCCAATTATTAGTAGACTACTACACCTGTTTGTTTAAGTATATAACATTAAATGTAGTCAAAGATTGGAGAACAGAGTAAATAAACAATGGTAACAACTTCTTTTGACAAACCTTTGCCATTGTGACTATGTCAGGAACCACATCTTGAGTCTGGAAACCCCAATAATGACTTCCTGTTCTCCCAAATCCAGTTTGGACTTCATCGGCAATGCATACACCACCAGCGTTGCGAACAATTTCATAAACCGACTTTAAGTAACCAGGAGCCAATTCTACAGCCCCTCCGACCCCCTGAAATAAGGATGATAATGGCATGGTGATAATTATGCTCAAGAGAGTGGTAAATCACTAAATTTCACTTGATGGTCTGTTTAAACAAAAACCTGGATGGTCTCTGCGATAAATCCCGCTACTTTTCCAGAGGTACCATACTCGATGTGGTCTTTGACATCTTTAGCATAAAGAGAACCATCAGAGCCAAAGACTCCACGGTATGGATCTGGATTTACAACGTGATGGATTTCCCCCTGCACAATAACATTATTGGCAAATAAATATTCCAGACACACTATCGCAGAGAACTACATTGCAGAGACATTGATTCTGATGGGTCTAAAACGTTGGTAAAGGTGAAGTAAAAGAATCGGCTTGAAATTTCAGAAAACTATATGGTCACTCAAGCGCAGAGAGGCAAAAAAATCTCAACTTTGAAAAGGAATCAATTCGATTTTTCGTTAAATGAAAGTCTTTGGGACAAACCTGTGGTAATGGGTACTTCCATGTGTTCAGAGCTGTTAGTCCAATGGTATTAGAACTTCCACCATGATAAGCATTTCTCAAGGAAATCATCTCAAGGCTACCAGTGTAAAGCCTAGCCATCATCATCGCTAGCTCATTAGCTTCTGATCCAGAATTCACAAAGTATACAACCTGCATCCAAATCGTAAAGCTTGCTGATTCCTCGATGAACCAACAACAGAAACCTAACTACATCATAGTTCTCAAGTTGCTTCAGACTTCTTTCTTTAAATCTCAAGTACCTTTAGATTTCCAGGCATCTTAGCAGCTAATGCTTCAGCGAAATCGCCTATGGCATGATGCAGGTAAATGGTCGTCGCATGCTGAAGAAGCTTGCTCTGTTCCACGATAGCATTTAGAATCTCCGGATGGCAGTGACCGCACGAGACAGTGACTATTCCAGCAAAGGCATCAAGATATCGCCTACCACTCTCATCAAACAAGTACTGCATCTTCCCTTCAACAATGTTAAGCTGCAAGATAACAGGAAGACTGAATCAGTAGTATCAGATCCAAATGTCACAGCATGGAGAAAATTGCAATCAAGGCCACATGATTTCCAATGGCTCTGGCACAGAGTTAAATTGATCAATGGATTCTATATCTGGAGATTTTCAAATTCCTCAAATCGTCTTCTGGATTTCTACGATTAGAATAAGCAGAACCCTAACAATTGATCATAACGATTTATGCTACAATCTGGAGCTTATGAATCGAAAAACCACAAACAGAAATTCGAAATCCTTGATTGAGTACTGATAAATCGCGATCGCCAGAAACCAACATAACAAAATTTGAATTCGATTTCAGCAGAACTGAGAAACGAAAACATAAACGGACGTACAGGCTTTTGGTAGAAGTGGAAAAGAGAAGGTCCGAGAAACTTCTTCCGTTTCTGGAAAACTTCATCGGCGGAAGGACCTTTATACGGCCGTGGCTGGTAATCGAACGGCGGAATCTGCGGCGGAGCATCAGCAATCGAAGGAGAAGTGGAGAAATCAGCACGGAGGAGAGAAATCTCACGGCGATGATAGATACCGGAAGAAGAATTCGTAGCTCTATCGAGAGCTCTCTTCAGGAGTTGCCTTTGTAACGCCATTTATTAGAAAGATAATGACAAGTTTGTCAGATCACACTTATGTATTTCTAGTGTGGTCAATAAGATTAATCCTAGAGTTTTAAGTAGGAATCAAATGATGACGTGTCAAAGATGATTCTTAAAAAAAGATTCTTAACCCCATTAAGATTCCATTTGAATTAAGCAATGACAGTGACACAGTAACAAATCTCTGCCGATTATCCTCTGCAAATTAAATATGACGTGTCACTGACTAGAGGCGGAGTATCCAAGATATGTATTATCCTCCAAATCTTTTAATTTTAAATTTAGTTACGATAATATGTTTAAAATAAAATTAAAAAACACTAATTGACCGTTAACACTTAAAACGGCTTGATCGATCAAGATGATTTGTTCATTCTTTCAAATAAAATTATTTTAATTTTCGAAACGAGAATTTTTCCTATTGGAGAAATAAAATCATGTTGTTGTTAAGTTAGAAGATTAGCTCAGCGTTGAAGCAATTTTTACATTGGCCTTACTAATTAGCTTGAAAACAATAAGATTATTTTGTGTGCATGTTCATATCATGGATGGCTTTAACACAAAACAAAAGTAGTGTCTAATTCATAATGTTTTTTGTTCATCTTTCCACAATAATCTTTTGTTTTGATTATTAAAATAAAGTGAAATAATCGAAAGAGTTAGTCAGACGTGTACATGACTATCACTTGAGGGAGGCAACGTACACAATCATCAAGTCATGCTAATAACAACTAACGCATTTAATTAAGATCTTATTTTGTCTTTTATTCGTCATCGACGGCCCCCACTAATGCAAGAGCATAACGTTACTAATTTAATTCCAATATTCTCCATAACAACTGTTATGATTAAAGAAAAATCTCTGGATCAATAATATTATCGCAGAAAAAAAATTATTATTGTTTTTTTTATTCATCGAATAAAAGGTTAATAGTCATCACAAGTTCGATGATTATATATAATGGAAAACAAAGTCAAATCCAAATTTCAATATCCTGAAGGGAACCCTCCTTTCCTTGGATCACTGACCGCCACAAGCTTACTCATTCCACCGGAGCTTCCATCGGATTCTTCAACTATGAACTGAGAAATCGTCCCTCCGGCAATCGGCATTAGGACATGGCCTTTCTTCTCCAACACAAGTCTTGTCTCTTCAGGAATCTCAAAATGGTCATTATACACTGTCGTCCAATTCTCATACGAAGCTTTGTTCGGTATCAGCTGCATTTATGAAGTTACAAAAATAAAATCTTGTTATGACCAAAAAACAAGAAAGTTTCTATCTTGGGTATAAAAGGAGCAAAAAAAAGAGAGAGCAAAAACCTGGTGGTAGATTCTTGGAGCAACAACGGAAGAGAGAGGATCCATGTTGAGGAAGAAATGATTCAAGTAAACTTCTGTTGTACCGGCGATGATGAACATTCCTCCGCTCGCACCCAGTGCTGCTTTCACTTTACCGTCCTGTGTAAACCAACACAGAAAAAATTATCGTTTAGAACCCAAATTCAGAGTTCCTTGTAACACAAGAATTAGGGTTTTTTTCCTTGCCTTGAGTACAATGGTGGGAGTCATAGATGACAAAGGTCGTTTCCCCGGACGGATGAAGTTAGCTGGTGCCGGTGGCGGCACATCTGGGCCACCTCCGGATTTCATTGGGATCGAGAAATCGTCCATTTCGTTGTTTAGAACAATTCCAGTGCTCGGAGACAGCATTATTGCCCCAAAGTATCCGTTGATTGTAGTAGTCATTGAAACAGCATTTCTCTCCGAATCTATTATCGATAAATGGCTCGTCCCATGATCCTTTATCTGATTCCATCTATGAATAGGAGAAATGATAAACCCAGACATGAAGAAAAAATATTTTGCGGTCTTTAACAAATTGAAAAAACTTACTTGCCACCGTAAAATTTTGGACCAAAGGTCTTCTCATCGTTTATCTTGCTCTTCAAGTCTTGCGCAAACTTTGGAGACAACATATCTGAAACAACCTTGGTAACATCAGGGACGAAATCTGGATCCCCGAGGTTCATTCTTACCGCGAATGCATGTTTGAGAGCCTCAACTAGTCGATGAACACCGAGGGCGCCGTGAACACCATATGGAATACCATATTGAGCAAGAATGTTCAAAATCTGCAACACAAGAGAAACTCCAAAAGATAAACCTAGGTTTGATGAAATGTGAAATTTTCACAAAAATACTTTACTTACAAGCATCATTGCAGGGCCACCAGATGAAGGAGGAGGCATGCCGAGTAATCGGTATCCAAGAATATCCGCAGATAATGGTTCTTTAACCTTAACGTTGTAATTCTGCAAATCTTTCAAAGTGATTATTCCTCCTGATTTTTGTATATCACTCACTAGGTTAGCCCCAACCGTGCCATTGTAAAACGCTTTTGGACCGTATTCAGCGATTTGGCTTAGTGTAAAAGCCAATTTTGGGTTCTGGAAAATCGTCCCTGGTTTCTTGAGCTCTCCATTTGAAACAAAAAGCTCAGAGAGACCTTTGTCTGCTAAGATATCGCTTCTAGTCGCGTTCATCTGCATATAGAGATATTTTGAAATCTCGAAACCTTCAGCTGCAAGTTTCTCTGCGGGTTCCACTAACTGCTTCCATGGTAACTTCCCGTGTTTTGTCCAAGCCGTGAATAGACCAGCGACTTCCCCGGGAACGGCTACTGATAAGGCTCCTTTCTTCTTTTGCTCAGGATTACCACCATACATATTCTACATCAAGAGAAACATTCAGTGATCCAAAAAATACAGATGTTCTTATATACACCAAGAGCAAGCACAAACACTGTCCATGACTCAAAAATGTTTATCCAAAATGCACATTTTGATAAGAGTAAAAAGAAAGACATTATTACTAAAACGTGTTACCTCAGAGGCGCTTAGAGGAGCGGTTTCTCTAGAATCATAAGCTATTTCTTCGCCATTAGCGAGTTTGATTACTATAAACGCTCCACCGCCTACACCGCTAGACGCGGGACTGACAACGCCCAAACAAAGAGCAGCAGCCACCGACGCATCAATCGCGTTTCCTCCTTGACGAAGAACATTCGTCCCGATTTCAGAACACCGCCCATCGTCCGTCGCAACCGCACCGTGATACGCAACAATACTTTGCTGATTTTTCTCAGCATTAGCGTTTTGCAGAAACGCGATTAGAAGAAGAGCGACCGTCGCAGTACGAACAAGCAGCATTGCTAGTATCAATAGAGAATCAAACCAGTGATTAATCACAGAACGTAACATAATACATATTAGTTGACGATTTTCTTTTTGTTTTTGATTTAAAGAAATTAAAAAACAAAATAACTTACAATTCATATGGATGTCTCTATCTCAGAAGGTCTCTTCTTCTTTCGTCCTTAGGGACAAGAGTTTGTTCAGACGAGTATTAATAAGACCTGTGGTCAAACTCTCATCTGAGCTTTTCATGGAAGGTAAATTATCAATGTAAAACGCTTTCCAAAATGAAGGTAAATTATGAATGTAAAACCCTTCATTCCAAAGTTGTAACTCTTTAATAATAAATTTCCTTCTTTTGTTGGTCAATGTTTTAAATGTTCTTTATATGACCTAAAGGTATAATAATTAATTATCTATGCTTATTTTAAGGAAATCATAAAAATAAAAGAAGGGAAGAATTGATTTTATCTTGTATAAATTGTAAAAGATCTATAGGTGGCAATAATATTGATCTCTTAATGCTTGTTTTTTGGTAGTGTCTCATTTTTGGTAGTTAATTACTTAATTTACATCAATTAACTAAGATAATCTAACTTAATTTAGCTTAGCAGTATACAAAATATATGAAATATAATCTTTATATATATCCCATTTTATTAATTCTGAAATTTATGCTTAATCATTCTGGTTGCTTCTTAAAATGCTTTACTTTTTTTTTCAAATATATGAAATATGTTTATATTTGTAAAGATTGATCATCCCCAATGAAATTTGTTTTTGTTAGCCACTGCATGTAGGAGGCATACATCGACACACTCATTGGGCCAAATAAATTATTTCATATATTCGGCAACGAGTTTTGATAGTGAGATTTAAACTTTAAAAATAAAATAAAAATTTGATATATATTCGGTGCAATAAGCCAATAAACAATGAAAAAAAAAATAATTAATCCCGATCTCAATATCCTGAAGGGAACCCTCCTTTTCTAGGATCACTTACTGCCACAAGCTCACTCCTTCCGCCGGAGTTCCGGCCGGATTCTTGAACTATGAACTGAGCAATCGTCCCTCCGGCGATGGGCGATAGGACATGACCTTTCTTCTCCAACACAACTCTTGTCGCTTTAGGAATCTCGAAATGATCATTGAATACTGTGGTCCAATTCTCATACGATACTCTGTTTGGTATCAGCTGAAAATGACATAACCAATAGCAAATTTTAGTTACGAAGCAAAGAACAAGGTAAGTTTCTATTTTGGGTAAAAGAAATAAAAACAAAAAAAGCAAAAAACCTGATGGTAGATTCTTGGAGCTAAGACGGAAGAAAAAGGATCCATCTTGAGGAAAAAGTGATTCAAGTAAACTTCCGTTGTCCCAGCAATAATGTTGGCTCCTCCGCTCGCTCCCACCGCGGCTTTCACTTTACCATCCTACGTAAACAAAATTGGAGAAAACGATATTTTAGACCCCTAATTAAGAGTTTCGTGTAACACAAGTAATAGGTTTAATTTTTCCTTACCTTGAGTACAATGGTGGGTGACATAGAGGACAAAGGTCGTTTTCCAGGACGGATGAAGTTAGCTGGTGCTGGTGGTGGAACATCTAAGTTACCGTTTGATTTCATCGGGATTGAGAAATCGTCCATTTCGTTGTTCAGAACTATTCCTGTGCTCGGAGATAGCATCAATGCCCCAAAGTAGCCATTTATTGTACTAGTCATTGACACAGCATTCCTCTCGCGATCTATGATCGATAAATGACTTGTCCCGTGGTCGTCGATCTGATTCCACCTACGAATTGGAGAAATAAAGATCTATAAATCATGAATTTAAGAAGAAATTTGTGGGTTTTAACAAATATTAAAACTTACATGCCGCCGTAATATTTTGGATCAAAGGTTTTTTCGTCGTTTATCTTTCTCTTCAAATCTTGTGCAAACTTTGGAGACAACATATCCGAAACAACCTTGGTAATATCAGTGAAATCTGGATCCCCTAGGTTCATTCTAACTGCGAACGCATGTTTCAGAGCTTCGATTAGTCGATGAACACCGAGAGGGCCTGAAACACCTGATGGAATCCCATATTGGGAAAGAATGTTCAAAACCTGCAACACAAGAAACTCCGTATAAATATTTAGTAAACCAAGGTTTCATAAAATGTGAAACTGCCACGAAAGAAACCGAACTTACAAGCATCATTGCAGCGCCACCGGATGAAGGAGGAGGCATACCAAGTACTCGATATCCAAGAATGTCTGCGGCCAACGGTTCGTTAATCTTAACTCTATAACTTTGCAGATCTTTCAAAGTTATTATCCCTCCAGATTTAAGGATATCTCTCGCTAGGTTAACCCCAACTGTGCCATTGTAAAATGCTTTTGGACCGTACTCTCCAATTAGCCTTAAGGTTAAAGCCAAGTTTGGGTTATGGCAAATCGTCCCTGGTTTCTTGAGCTCTCCATTTGAAACAAATAGGTCAGAGAGACCTTTGTCTGCTAAGATATCGCTTCTAGTCGCATTCATCTGCATATAAAGATACTTTGAAATCTTGAATCCCTCTGCAAGTTTCTCTGCAGGACTCACTAACCGCTTCCACGGTAGCTTCCCGTGTTGTTTCCAAGCCGTGAATAGACCTGCGACTTCCCCGGGAACGCCTACTGATAAGGCTCCTTTCTTCTTTAGCTCAACATTACCTCCATACATATTCTGCATCAAGTGATACAACCAATAAATGCATTTGATTCAAAAACATTTAAGGAAAACGCTATTTAAACTCATGAGAAAAAACCAAGACTGTCATATTCATAAAGGTTGAGAAAAAGTCTATTTAAGGTCATAAATAGACTAGAGGAAAATAAATGTTTAAACGAAATGTTAATTAAGAAACACTTTAATATGATAAACCGTTGGAAAAGTTTAAGCTCAAGATCACAAAAAGGCTATTTTAAGCTCAAGATCACAAAAAGGCTATTTGAGAGACCTCAGCAACACTATTACCCCCATACAATGTTCTACACCAAGAACAAGAACAAAGATTGTCTATGATTCTAAAACTTCAACGAAAACGCATATATGAAAACGCATATTTGATCAAAGTAGGAAAGACATTATTCCTAAAACGCGTTTTACCTCAGTGGCGCTTAAAGGAGCGGTTTCTCTAGAATCATAAGCGATTTCTTTCCCACCAGCTATCTTAACCACTGTAAACGCTCCACCGCCTATACCGCTAGACGCGGGACTGACAACGCCCAAACAAAGAGCAGCAGCCACCGACGCATCAATCGCGTTTCCTCCTTCACGAAGAACATTCATCCCGATTACAGAACACCGTCCATCATCCGTTGCAACCGCACCGCGGGACTTAACAATACTCTGCTGTCTTTTCTGAGCCGCAGCGTTTTGCAGAAACGCGATTATAAAAAGAACGATCGTCACTGTTCGAACTAGCGACATTGCTACTATATATTGATGGAGAAACAAACAAAGAGATTTAATCACAGAGGATAAACAAAAAAAAGTTGATCTTCAACGTTTAAACAACAACGGATTCATATAAACAATAAATTTGAAAGAATCATCGAACTTTCCCAAAAAATTGAAAATAGAGATTAGTCAACTATTGACAACGTTTAAACCAGTCTCACGCGTATACGCAAAAAAGCTCAAAGCCACCAAAGACTTTATGTTACTGTCTTTGACCACACACGAAAAAAACTTAAAACTTGAATTTGACTCCCAAGAAAATAACGAAACTTTATATTTCTTATTCTTTGAGCCAAAGCCATCCAAGAAAAATTCAGAGTTCTTCTAAAACATGAGTGGGAAATTCATAAACTTGAAATAACGACTTACATGAAAATCAATAATTCATCCAAGAAAATCTCCAATAATATTAATGAAGCTTGTTAATAAAAATATCAAATAGTCGATTGTTAGGTGGAACAATCGTTGACTTCTGAATTTAGAGAAACAAAACAACTTACAATTTATAGGGACGTCTCGTTCTTGGCGACAACAAAGAGATTGTTCAGACTCTGCCCAAAAGTTTCAATTGAGTTTTCTATGGAAGGTAGAGGATGAGATATAAACTATGATGTATACGTTGCGGCCAAGTCATTTAATTAAATGTCCACAGAGTTTCAAAAGTCTTTAATTATACGTTGAAGCACTTATTCAACGGATAAAAGTTGGCCCACACACATGGCTAAATTGGCTATAGATGTAGATCGATACCACTCAATTAAATATTAGAAAAATCGGGAATCTCCCATAATTAGTTCAGTAACAAGATCTCAATTCATGTTACTAAAAGGACTTTGTTGATTATATTTGAAGCAAACTCGTGAAGAGCATCTAAAGTACAATGGTGGTATCAAAACTTTAGTGCTCGTCTTAATCATGCCTTGTGGACCGTTATAAAAAAAAGAACATTCTTTCTTTTTGAATCTTGAGAAAAAGTCGACTTCAATTTTTTGACACCACAAGTTTTTAAAAATATCGAATTTATTAGAAACATAACCATTTTACAAATATCACAATTCGGCCTTTATTTAGAAATGTTATTGAGCCCATGGGCCTTTTTTTTTTTTTTTTTTTTTTTTTTTTTTTTTTTTTTTTTACGGCCAAATTTTCCATTAGGTGAGAAACGAAATTACATAATAGTGTTCGGTTTACAAATTTAAGACATACATTTAATGGATCCACGAGATAACAAATGGTAAGTTTTGTTGCCTAGCTTTGCGAGCTAGCGTGTCGGCTATGGTATTGACTTGTCGACCGACGCACTTGAAATCATAAGAACTCTTCGCCATAGCCAATATATCTTCAAGATATCCTTGAATCTCCAATGGCCCAGGATTTCGTTGATTTTGTGTAGCTGACTCCTCCAAATAATTGTATAGCGTACTAGAATCACCATAGAAAGTGACATTTTGGTAATTGAGTCGTTTTATCTGGAAGAGGGCTTCTCTCAGCGCAATGGCTTCAGCTTCCAAAGCTGAATTAGTAGGATCAATGGATGAGGATCCTTTTAGAATGCAGCGTCCTTTTTCATTAAAGAGGGCCCAACCAATGCCTGCTCTGCTATTGGGATCCAGCCAAGAACCATCTGTATAACAAGAGAAAAACGAATTAGCTGGCCGGTCGTAGGGGCGCTGTTGATTTTGTAGCTTGGTGCCTTTATTGTGAGTGTGATTTTGAGCAATATTAGCATTTTGAGCTTCTTTCCACAATTCAAAATCCATAATAGATTGTCGAATAATGTCAGGGATAGCCCATCTCTTATGGTTATAGAGAAGGTCATTCCGGGCTTTCCATATGCGCCAACCAATGTAAGGGAATAAAGATTCCTTGGATTCCCCAGCACCTCTGGACTGTAACAGACCAGATATGATATCAAAAAGTGAAGCTTCCTCATACTGACCTGATGATATTTGTAAAGGTGATAGCTCCCAAATCTCTTTTGCTAACCGACATTGGAAGAAAAGGTGGGGAACGGTTTCAGCAGCATCACCACAAAAAAGGCAGTCTGGGGAGATTTGGATGCGCCTACGAGCAATATTCGCTGCAACATGGATGGCATTATGAAGCATTCTCCACCAGAAATGTTTTAGTTTTGGTGGCAAATGTAAAGCCCAAATTTTTTTACACAAACCTTGGAGTTGGGCTGAAACTGTGGAACAGTATGGATGTGGCTTTGATAGTTGATGGTATCCAGACTTGACAGTATACTGGCCATCTTTAGTAAATATCCATGTAGGAATATCAGGGCCTTTAAGGAGCCTCAATCGTATTCTCCTAATAAGCTGAGTGTCTTGAGGACAAATTATCTCCTGTAGCTTCTCATCATCCCAAGATGATGTGCCTGGCTTCATGAGTCCTGAAACTGTCAAATTATCATTTGCAATATTTACCAAACTTTTTGGTGGACGCGGAGGATTGTCAATCCATGGATCATGCCATACCCGAACTGTATGACCATTACCTATTCTCCACTTTAAGCCCTGCTTTATAAGAGATGTACCTTGCACTATACTACGCCAGGCATGACTTGGGCGGTGGCCAGCTGTGGCTTCCAGCAGAGAAGCTTTGGGGAAATATTTTGCTTTAAGAACACGGGAGAGTAAAGACTGAGGTTCCTTTAACAAACGCCAACTTTGCTTTGCCAATAGAGCAATATTGAAATGAGAAAGATCTCTAAAGCCCATGCCTCCATACTGTTTCATCATGGTGAGCTTGCTCCATGCAACCCATGGGATCTTCTGCTTATCTTTAATGCTAGACCACCAAAAGCGTCGTATTTGAGCTGTAATTTGAGAGATAAGTCGCTTAGGCAGAAGGAAACAAGACATTGTATAAGTAGGCAGAGCAGTTGCCACAGATTTAATTAATACTTCCTTCCCAGCTTGTGATAGAAACTGATTGTACCAATTATCTAGCTTATGTTGAACCCTCTGGGATATATAAGCAAAAGCATCATATTTATTTCTGCCTACAACTTCTGGTAAACCCAAATAACGACCAAAACCTCCAATTTTATCAATACCAGTGAGGCTTTTAATAGCTTTTTGAGTGGTTGAAGGAACATTCTTACCAAATAATATGGCAGATTTTTGGAAATTAATATGCTGGCCGGAAGCAGTAGCATAAGTTTGAAGCAGTTGTAGGACTTGATGACAATCTTGTTCATTTGCTTGACAAAAAAGGAGAGAATCATCTGCAAAGAACATGTGTGAGACTGCTGGTCCATTACGGCTAGCTTTAAATCCATGAATAGACTTTAAATGGACTGCATTGGCTAATAGAGAAGACAAGCCCTCTGTACAAAGCAAATAGAGATATGGTGAGAGTGGATCACCTTGACGCAGTCCTCTGCTAGGGATAATCTTCTTAGAAGGAGATCCATTAATAAGCACTGAGTATGTGACTGTGGTAACACATTTCATTATCCATTGACACCATCTCTCTGCAAAACCAAGCCGTCTCAATATAGATAGCAAATAATTCCATTCCACCTTGTCAAAAGCTTTAGCAATGTCTAGTTTAAGAGCCATGAAAGGTGATTTGACTTTCTTAGTACACAACGAATGCAGGAGCTCATGAGTAATGATTACATTGTCTGTGATGAGGCGACCCGGAATGAAAGCAGACTGAAATTCTGATATTAAACAATGTAACCAAGGCTTAAGCCGTTCTGCCATGACTTTAGATATTAGTTTATATGCAATGTTGCATAAGCTAATTGGCCTAAAGTCCTTGACTTGCGTAGGAGATTCAATCTTAGGGACAAGGCAGATGTAAGTGTGGTTTATGTCTGGGTCAAGATTACCAGATTGAAAAAAATATTTGACGAAGTTTACCACACCTGATTTAATTGTATTCCAATGATATTTGTAGAAGCCTGCATTGAACCCGTCAGGTCCTGGAGCTTTGTCTACATTCATGGCAGCTAAAGCTTTAAAGATCTCCTCTTCAGATACTGGCTTAGTGAGCTGCTGGTTCATTTCTGCAGTGACTTTTGGTTGAATATGTTGCAGCACAGGATCCAGATCAGTCCTGCCATGAGAGGAGTAAATATCAGTAAAATAATTTTGGATAATCTCTTGAATCTCCTTCTCTGAATGCTTAATGGAACCATTTGTATCTTGAATGGAAGTGATTCGATTGTGACGTCGTCGCTGTTGTGTCTTAGCATGGAAATACTTAGTATTTTTATCTCCGGCTTGCATCCACTGAACCCGACTTTTAGTACGCCAGAATTCTTCTTCCATTCGATATTCATGCTGTAATTTAGATTTTAGGACTGAAATATAGTTGTAGTCAAGGGAAGAAGAATCATACGCTTTTTGCAGGGCTATACGAAATTGCTGGATCTGTTTTTGTGAATTGAGATGATGCTCCGATTTCCAACAAGAGAGACCATTCCTGCAACGTTTTAATGCTTCATGAAATTGTTGTGGTGGTAATTGACTGCAATTTTTATCCCATATACGTTGAAGGGTTGAGTGAATTTCCCGTTGGAACCTCCATCGGTTATCATATCTGAATATTAATTTCACTAAAGATGTTAGTTTCGTAATTTTCGATAGTAAAACATTGTTTCCTTTATTTTCATTTAAGCTTTTAATTCCCGCCCATTTAATTAATAATATTTTCAAAAGCTTTTCTGATTTTGGGGATTTTTCATCTTCCTCACAGTTCTAGGGTTTCTTTTTCCAGATTATGATTAGAAATTTCAGCCTGTTCGTCGAATTAAGCCTCTAATTGTTCGGAAGAAATCGATAATGCCGAAGCGAAAAGCAAAGGAGTGTGTCAAACTCACCGAAGAAGATAAGAACGATGACAAGCGAATTCGAAGAGAAGAGAAGAAAGAAGACTTCGTCGACGAAGAAGGTATCTCAATTATTCCAATACCCAGCTTACAAATTTAGGATTTTATGATCTGATTTTGGTGTTTTTGGGTAACATTTTGTGTAGTTGAAAGACAAATTGCTGCGATTAGAGCAATCCGTGATGTTGAGATTGAACAAACTCTAACTGCATTGAGGTTGCTTCGCTCAAATTTTACTGAGGAACAGCTCGACACTCCTGTGTTAGAGTTCTTTAAAGAGAACCTTCCGGATTTGTCGATATCGAGAAACGAAGAAACTGGGGAGATTGAGTTAAAGTGGAAAGATGAAAATGGTGATTCATTCGCAGGAAATGCGAATGGCGTTGACATGAATTATTCTATTTTAAAGCGCTTGTCGATGCGTTTTCCTGATTTATACAGTAGATCATCTCTTGGTGGCTATGATTTACCTGATAACGGTAGGTTATCTTACTTAAGTTCTTTTGTTAGGATTTGGTATTAAACTTTGAATTTTACTTTTGTTTTTGTCTTTGGTGGCAGTGAAAGCAAACCTGTTAGGAACTGATAACCCACTGCTCGATAATCTTGTAAGTTTATATCTTGTCTTCCTGCCATTTTTCTGGTGGTTCCTGGAATCTGGCAGATGCTCATGAATGATTTGATACAACTTTTGTTTAACATTTAGTGAATTTGTCATTTGCTTTAATCAGTTTTGCAGTCTTTCACCAAACTGAGTAGTGAACTGTATAGCCTGTACTTGTTTGTTTTAGTGATGTTTAGGTTATGCTAAACCGTAATCTGGATTTTTATTTTGTGAACCTTGTATTTTTCTCCTGCCTTCCAAAATTATGCAAACCTACTTCAGGACAGTCGGTAGAAAACGCTAATTTGCTATTTTCCTCTGGCTTTTAGGTCTTTCAGGGGACATCTGAGAACCAAATGCTTGCAAGCCATGATGCTTTTCAGACTCCTGGGGTATGTGTTTATGATTGTATTCCCTATTTCTGTCTTGATGCAATTATCTGGCACCTACTCTAGGGTTCTTTGTTTGGTTCTTTGGCATGTTTTTTCCTTCGAGTTTTTGTTTGTACTTTGATCCAGAGAGAGGAAAATCAGTTTATGGTTTTGAAATTTAACAATTACATTCTCTGTTGCAGAATGAGCATTTCAATGATAGATTTTGCGCATACAAAGCAGAGACTCTACAATGAAACTCTTAAATTTTGCAGGTGAATGGGCAAAGACTCTCTTTTGGAATGACACCAAAGACTCGGAGGCTACCAAAACCTGGAGAGATGATGCTCTCTGTGCATGGCTCTCCTTTGGGGGTCTACAAAGAAGACCACAACATGGGAGCTATAAATGGTATGTTTCTAGATCACTGTTTTTCTCAGTTCTTGCTCCCTCCTATGAGATACAACAAGAATACAATATTTGTTCTTATGTGCATTAATTGATTTTGCAGAGGAAAACAGTTAAAAAGCTCCAAAGATTCAGACACTTTCGGATTGTAATGGTTTAACCTTGTGTTCCAAAAACCAGATATGTTTGTTATGTCTGTTCTTCAGCATGCTAGGGTAATTCCAACAACAATGATGTTTTGTTTATATATATGATACCTTTCAGTTACAGTTTTACCAATCGATTACAAGTTTCTAGTGAATAGTTTTTTTTTTCTCTTTGATATCATATTATTTTGATCTGAAGCAAATAGTGGCTGCTTTTCTTGACTAAGCTTTCTTGATTCATCCCTGGAAACTTTATCATGTCCACTCAAGTTCTCCAAATAGTTCGTTCTGCAGTTTTCCTCTGCAATCTTGAACAGGTCTGAAAACATGCTTATGTCCGCCTGGACAATTAGACACCCAACCCGTAATCGTATGACAAAATGCCAATTAGTCTCAAGCATAAAAAAATCAACCGAACTGAAACTCTAGCTATGACGGTAGAGTCATCATCTCTATAAAAACATATATTCTTAGTTCGGGATGGGTATCAAGTAAAGAAAAATACTAACCATGGCTTAGGAAAGGACTGGATGACTCATTGGGGGTGCAGTGCAACCAGATTCACATCCAGCAAAGAGTTTGGTCAGTTTGTTACATCTTTATCTTGAAATTCAGTAAATTGTGTTCCACCACGTCCTTAGGACTGTCTCGTGGCCTGCTCGAACGAGATTATTTCCTGTTTTCAGAATCCGAACCAGGTAGTCTTGACCCGAAAACTTCAAGGGCTTCCAAGAAGAACCTCTTATTAGGTACAATTCCATCTTTCTCCATTTTCTTCATCAGTATCTGGACATGCTCCTTCATATCTGCCTTGGTATATGCCTTATATAAAAACTTATACGTCGATGCATCTGGATGAACCCGAAAAGCACTTGCGTTATGGAAAAGCTTATCTGCTTCCATGTAAAGACCATTACGACAGTAAACTTCAAGCATGGCATTGAGTGTTGACGCCTTTAACACCCTCTCAGAATCAACAACCTCCTCAAATATTTCCCTAGCTCTGGAAACAGAGCCACAGTAACCATACATCATGATCATGCACTCATATGTGATAAAACTTGGCATGTAGTTCATATCATTCATCTTCTTGAAAACCCATTCCGCCTTATCTATCATACGAGCTTTCCCGTAATTTATAATCATTGAATTGAATGTAGGCAGAGTTGGCTTCTCCTTGGACCGCATTAAACTCTTGAAAGTCTGCTCCATCTTTTCAAACTCTTGCTTCTTACCATACGAGTCAATAAGCACATTAAAGGTGATGATATCTGGCTTACACTCATTACTCCTCATACGAGTAAGCACAGCTTCCATCTCCTTAATCATCCCGTTTTTCCCATATGCATCCATAACACCGTTGAAGGTGTAGACATCTGGAGAAACTGGACTCATATCCAAGTCCTTAAACAAAGCATTAACTTGGTCCACTTTACCGGATTGAGCAAAAGCCCTCAACAAGATATTATAAGTCACAACATTGGGTTGACACCGTTCCATCCCTTTCATTTTGTCAAAGTATCCACGGACTTTCTCCAAAGCTTTTGCCTTGTCCCGTGTATGAAGATGAGCCGTTATGAGGGCATTATAAACAGAAGCATCAGGACGACACCCACTGTTTTTCATCTCGGAAAACAACCACATTGCCATCCGGGTTTGACCCTTTTTCCCCATTACGGATATCAATTTCGAATAGACTCCATTATCTGGGATATACCACCGCTGTTTCTGCATCCACCTGAACACCTATAGAATAATAGAAGAATCACAGCAAGATAAGAAATCAATACAATGGTTGCAAACTTTCAATGCTCAATGAAGGCACCAACACACCTCCTCACAGAACCTTTCATGGTGTCATTGAACACAAAACACAGCTTATGAATCTACCATTGAGCTAAACAGATAAAAATCCAATCTTTTAACGACCCAGAAGCTGAGATTCAAAACTACACAAATTCAAGCGAGGAAGAAGTAAAACCTCAAAACATGGTTTCATGATACAGTCTTGTCATTGGAACAATAATAACCACAAACACAATCTATAAATCCATCATTGAGCTAAAACGATTATAAAAACAATTCAATCTTTTTACAAACACAGAAGCTTGAAGAACATATAAAGAAGAATGAAGCAAAACCTCGAGGCATTGTAGCCACTTATCGCTTTTCCCAAGCTCTTCAAAGAGTAAGAAACAATGGTCACATCTTACGACCTTAACGTACTTGTCAAGCGTCTTCACCAATGGTTCTTTGTCACTGATTCTCGACATCAGACTCCGAACAAGCACTCTATTCTCTCTCTCCGCACTCTCTCTCTCAGCAAGTTTCCTCCTTGACGAAATCGCACCGCAAATTATCCTCGTCTTCGTCGACCTCCTCGTAACGCCGAGATTCATTGACAAGCGAAGCCATTTGTGGTCGGTTTCTTGGGGAAAGGAAGAGATGAAATCTGAGAATCTCAGTGACGAAGGTGATGTCAACAAGTAGTCCATTGACGAAGAGTTTTTTTTGTTCCAAATCCTTTAATGGCGGATAAGGTTTTTACAGATGCAACAAAAAAAGTTGAGGGTGCATTCAGTGAAGCAGAAAAACAATTAGGGCGTTTCTGTAAATACCGCAAAAAAAGTTAAGGATCAAATTTTTCGGGATTTTGAACCCGACGTGAATCGAACACGCAACCTTCTGATCTGGAGTCAGACGCGCTACCATTGCGCCACGGATCCTGATGTACTATTAACTTCATTATATATTTATATTTATAAACGTTAACCAAGCTTAGGAAAAAAATAAAAATTAACATACAAATGCGATTTGTTGCTTGCAAATATAGCTTCGGTTTTAACCACCGTTGAAATCCAGAATTAACTTTTCTTAAAAAAGAAACAAGAAAATCAAATCCAAGGATAAGGATTGGTTAGGAGAAAAATATCAATTCAATAAGGAGGAGGAATAGAGAGCTAAAGAAAAAAAAAAGACTAGATTTCTACGAGGACGTTGGTTCTTTAGTCGTCGTCGGTCGTCGAAGAAAGATTTTCTCCTTTCTTTCTTCGCCGTACGATCGTCGTCTAATGGGAGAATCATCAAATCCAATGGCTACAAGTTCTTCTTCCCCCTCCTCCTCAATTCCTCCTTCATCTCCATCACCTTCTCCGACGACCACAACCACGCCGCCACGTCAGCACCTTCTCCTCCAACCACCATCTTCAAAAAAGAAGAAAAACAGAACAAACGTTTTCAGAGTTTTACGCACCGTGTTTCGCTCTTTCCCAATCTTTACAACACCATCCGTAGCATGCAAAATCCCGGTTATACATCCCGGTTTAGGCTTACCGGATCCACATCACAACACGTCAAGAATCACCGGAACATTGTTTGGATACCGTAAAGGCCGAGTAAGTCTTTCGATTCAAGAAAGCCCTAAATGTTTACCTTCTTTAGTCGTAGAGCTCGCCATGCAAACCACAACCCTTCAAAAAGAGCTAAGCACGGGAATGGTGAGAATAGCTCTCGAGACTGAGAAACAGCCTCGAGCAGATAATAATAACAATACAACCGAAAAGAAGACGGATATTTTGGAAGAACCGTTATGGACAATGTATTGTAAAGGAGAGAAAACGGGTTACGGTGTGAAACGAGAAGCGACCGAAGAAGATCTTAACGTGATGGAGTTGTTACGTCCGGTTTCTATGGGAGCCGGAGTTTTGCCGGGAAACTCGGAGTCGGAAGGACCCGACGGCGAAATGGCGTATATGAGAGCTTATTTTGAGAGAGTTATTGGGTCTAAAGATTCAGAGACTTTTTATATGTTGAGTCCTGAAGGGAATAATGGACCCGAACTTAGCTTTTTCTTTGTGAGAGTTTGAATATTTTCTTGTGGTTTAAATTTATTTAACGTGCATGTAAATGACCCGGAAACGGAGGTGGTCGACGTTATGTATTATTTTTTTAGGATAATTATAAGCATATTTTGTTGTTCTTTAAAATTTTCGTTGCTAATTAATCTCTAGATATAATTTTTTAAGTTTTGAATTGTATAACCACTTCTTCGTTCTGAAATGAAGTATATGTGTTTGACCCAAAAAAAAAAAAAAACGGAAATATATGTGATGTGACAACAAATTTGTGGAGAAGAAGATTTATTTAGCAAAACTCATAGACATCTCTTTTTATTTAACAAATGGAATGAATTCATTTTATAAATAGATACATTAATACTTGGAACTAACCACATATAGTCTTCCGGTCCATATATAAATAATGCCTAAGCCTGATACATTATTGTTTAGCCGAATTAATTTGAATCTATTCGGAACTCTTCTCAATTGTCCGAGTAAGTATTAATCAATATTGGTCAACTGTCTCTAAAGATCATTTTGCGCCTGGATTTGGTGCATTTCCTTGACGTGCATGTCTTGAGTTACTTCCTCCCACATCAATCTTGATTTCTCTGATCATCATTTTATCCCAAACCCGTTCTTCTTTTTCTTCACATCCAATTAGTACTCAGAGAAACATCAATACTTTTGAATATTTAAAATTACCATTTTGAGATTCATACGGAAGCTTTATGATCGTCCATGCAAATATGTGAATTCATGAATGAGAAAAACAAAATTCGTTTTCACAGTATATATATACTCGTTACAAGGAACATGCACCCTTTTACGAAATGAAATTCATGAATCTTTATAATGAACAGATTAATAAGAAAATAAATAACTTTAATTTGGGTTGAGAGGTGATAAAGTAAGAAACTTACTTGTCATGAAGGATTGGTATGGTATCCGAGCGGAAGCTATGTTTGATGATCCAACGAACAATAGAACAATCAAAGCAACTAACCAAACCAAGCGGTGATACATTTTGGTTTTGTTTATAATAATGAGTTTTACAATGTATAAATCGTTTATATAAGCCAAAATTTTGGTTTATATCAATTTGTGTTTGACGAAGAAAATGATATTTGATTTCTTTTGGTGAGAAGATGTATTTATAGAATAAGTTCTCCCTGACGAGGAAAAAGTCGTCCCAGAAAAAAAAAAAAAAAAAAATCTTTTGGATGTGTTTATCTGTTCTTTTTGAAGAATAGTCCATGTTATCGTCTGGTAAGACACGGTCAAACGAAGAAGATGCGTTTAAGGCTGTCTTGGAGAGAAAAATCTTATTTAAGTCAAACCCCTTTTATATCAAGAACTAACCATATATCAATCTCAATATATATATATATATATATTGTTTTCTAGCAAAAGATCTTATTGATTGATTTTCATTTATTAAGTTGCTCGGTTACAATAATTTCAGTTTCAGTTTATTTATTGGGATTCTTATTTATTTGCCATAAAAATAATGAGATTGATATGTTTACTAATGCTCGACCGGTTCAATTAGGGTTTTACGATACTGGTTTTGATCAGATCTAAACATAAACGTATATCGAAAATACTCAAACTCATTGTATACTAATTATACGGAAAAACGGTCTATTTCCCCACAAGAAGTATCACATCATAACAGATAGAGCCCAATCTATGACCACGTGCTAGATGTCCCCGAAAAAATACTTCTCAACTTATATCCCCATAAATTCATAGTTCAAATCCTATTTTTCCCTAAAATAAAAGTTTTCATCTTATTTACACACAAACATTGGTTTTGTTCGGTTTACTGACTGCTTACCAAACTAACGAAAATACTAAACCGGATTAAACCTAATCTAAACCAATTCTGACCCGATTACAACTAATTGAACCCGACCCAAGCAAACCCACGTTACCCACCCAACCCAACATCCTTCTTCACCCGTAAGCCGTAACATACCAATTCTTCTTCTTTCTCTCCCGTAATCTCTCTATGTTCATCTTCTAGCTTCACTCGCTCCCTTCGCCATAGCTTAACCTTCCTTCAAAAGCTGTACTTATGAAACCTAACCTATCTCTCTCCTCTTCCATGGATTTTCTTAGATCGGCGAATCCTATTTCCAGTTTTTTTTTTTTTATGTATTTAAATCAGAAATTTTTGCTTCTGTGTTCACCATTTCTCTACAAAATTGATGGATCTATTCTCGAAATTTTGATTACATTGTTTCATCGTTGTTCAACATGTTATCAAAAATTCAAATTTCATGTGAACATGTTAACAAAAATTTCCTTAATTTTCTTTTGATGAAGATGAATCACTTTGCAGTTCAACCAAACGTTTTTGCTACCACAACAATTTGAGAAGCTTTGTTGCAGTTGTTGAAAAAGATCAAACCACCGTTATTTGCCCAAATCACGTCGTATTGGTCTCCGTGACAACTACCACCACCATCCTTCTCGATCTCTCCGCTGTTACTTCATGTCTGAATTCACTTTTGGAATCCATCCATTCACTCATCAAATTCTCAAATACGGGCAATGGTATCCACTATCCAGTACGACTCCTCTGCGAATCAGTCCACCATTGACGCCTGCAATCGTCACTACACATCGTCTTTACCATCTGCCATGTCGTTTTCACTTCCGGCAACGATTTCACCGCTAAGCTCCATCTCTGATCTGGCGTTGTTTATGTGACGCAGAACGCAGTTCTTCTCGGTGAAATTACTGGCGAATGAGCGATTTGTGGCCATGGATCGAAATTCGTGGTGAGATTTGACGAGAAGAAGAATGTGATAGTGAGCTGGAATCAGACTGGAGCTTGCTTGTGGCCAAGGCTATCTTTGATTTTGACGTTTTCTCATATCCAATTCACCATTTTCATGCTTCTTGTTCAGAAAGTGTTCCGCAAAATGTATACGAGCAGTTGTTAGCATTCAATTGAAAATTGTATCAGATTTTACTTGAATTTAAATGACCCAAATTCATAATTTTTGTTTCTTGGTCTATGTGGCATGTTCTTAATGAGTTTCATGGGTTGGGTGAAGAAGAAGAAGAAATCGGGTAGGGTTTACATTGGATCTGATTTTTAATTTGGTTATATTGGTTTATGTGGTTTTCTATCGGATTTAATTTGTGAACCGATTAAACCCATATTTGTGGAGAAATATGATTCGAACTATGAATTTATGGGGATATAAGTTGAGAAGTATTTTTCCGAGGACATCTAGCACGTGGTCATAGATTGGGCTCTATCTGTTATGATGTGATACTTTTCGTGGGGAAATAGACCGTTTTTCCCTAATTATACATATATACTTTGTTTACATCTGAACTTCAACTGTTGGTTTTCTAAGCCATAATCAGTACGTGTATTACGTATCTAGCTATTTTAGATCGCATAGATATATATATATATATATATAATTGGTTGACCTCACAAAAAAAAAAAAAAAAAACATATTCTAGATTTTTGGTTGTGATGATATGCCTATGTGATGATGATATATACGTGAGAAGACAAAATATGTGACGAGACAAAAGAAACAGTAGTTTGTGAATATGAGGTTTTTATTCCGCATCTGAGCTATGTGACATCATAATTAGAATAAGCTTTAATATGATCGTCTCTAGGGTTTGGGGTTTGTTGGTGGGTCAGGTGCACGCCTTGAAATGCTACCTGGTGTTTCAATTTTGCTCCCTCTTATCACCTTTTCTTCCCATTGACCCTCTTCTGTTCCAAACAACAATGTAACAATAATGATCAATTAGGTTATAAAATCAAAAATTAAAATTTATTTTGGTTGAGAAATATATTCGCTTCAATTTGATCTCTATAATAGATGTATTCTCCCACCAACGTATCGTTTCAAGGCCCTGTAAAAAAAAACACGATGTAATTTCTCAGAATTGTAACCAGCTTACTTGTTTGGGTGGGTGTTTCATATGCTATTCTTGCTACTGCTGTGTTTGATGATCCAGAAAACAAGAGAAAAATCAAAGTAATTATCCAAACCACTGCTTTATACATTTTTAATTTTTTTTTTAATTTTTTTTCACTTCTGAAATTATGAGTTTCAGAATGTAAACTTTTGTATATATAGAGGAGAGACAACATTTGCACAAAAAAGGAGAGAGGACTAAACTTATCCAATTCATATTTTTTTTTTGGTAAATCTGAAATTATTATTTCTCTTTTTAGACGATAGAAATATAAAATATTCATAATTAATCAATTATCTACTATAATTATGGTTGGTACTAATAGTATTTTTGACACACAAAAAAAAAAGCTAGTGATTTTGATATATTGCTTTAAAGTTGGTTTTTCATTATTTCTTTCTTTATTATCAAATTTTACTTTTCCAAGTAAAAAATCTGAAGGTATTAATTTTATAGATTCCTTTCTATATACAATCTTACTTTTCCTAAACAAAAATAATAGTATAACTGTTTAATTAACTCGGGACGTTAGATAAAAGAAATGTTTAATTTCTTCGGATGTTTCATCTTATAAACCGTTTACCAAAATCTAAATATCTAAAATGAAAGATAATATTTGAGAAGACCACGAGGAATACCTGCATAGAACGAAATCTTTGAAACAATTATATTTCTTATCATCAAATCTTAGTAATTGAAATCTTGTAACATATCTGGAAACAACACAAATATAGTAACTAGTTTCAAATAATTTTATTTTCCATTGATAATAATGGGTTTGATCCATCGAATTTTAGCTTTTCCATCTAGGTTTAGGACAATCTTAAAAACCTTCATAAATTAAAAGAGCTTCTTCTCTGAATCTTCTTCAGGACAAAAATTATAAAACCCTACACATATTCATCCACACGGAGAACCAACATTCAGCTTTAATTTTTTCATCAGGAGATATCGATCGACCCATCAATCAAAACGTAGTACAAGTCGTAAAACAGAGCATTTTTGATTTAGCGTTATCAAAGCCTTGTGAATTGGGTTTCCGGGATTGTGACACGATCGCACCGTAACGATGTCTAGTGAGGTGTCAGTGTCACGGCACAATAAAAGGAAGGAGATGTCTCCGTCGTCGTCTAGGTTATTGTCCTTGCCAGATGATGTTGCTCTGAACTGCTTGTCCCGCCTCTCGAGATTGGACAGCGCGGCCTTGTCTCTGACCTCCAAGAGTCACCGCTCTCTCGTGGTTTCGCCTGAGCTCTGCCGCACGCGTGAGCTAATGGGTTGTACCGAGGAGTACTACTATGTCTGCTTAAGCATCCCTCCTGACCCAACTCCACGCTGGTTCATCCTCCACCGTGGAGGACCTACTCTAGATGACGCCGCCGCTGTTAACAACTCTGTGAATCAACGACTGAGACCGATCCCATCGCATCCCTGTCAGCCTCCAGAATCGTCCTCTTTCGTGGAGCTGGATTATGGAATCTATATCATTGGTGGAATCATAAACGGAAGTCCCACTTCGGAGGTCTTGCGTTTCGATTGTCTCTCTCACACCTGGAGACGCGTCCGGTCAATGAGAGTAGCTCGCGCTTCCGCAGCGGCAAACGTGGTAGATGGGAAGATTTACGTGTTTGGAGGCTGCGAGGAGGTAGATTCCTCCAACTGGGCAGAGGTTTTCGATCCAAAGACCCAAACTTGGGACACCTTGCCGTTACCTGATGATGATCCGGAGATACGCAAGAACACAAGTATGATCGACAAAAGTGTGGTGATGGAAGGTAAAGTTTATGCGGTGGACGAGGAGGATCAAAGCTTCTACTACCTGCCACGTGAAGGTATATTTAGAAGAGGGAATCATGATTCTAAGTCGGGAAACAGAAAAGACTGGTGTGCCATAGGGAAACTGTTATACTCTTGTGGTACTCGCGGGAAAATATTGTGGTGTGAAGCAGAAAAGCTGGATTGGAGGGAGGTGATGGGTTTGGATGCTTTTGACTGGTGTTTATTTGGTTTAAAAGGGAACTACTGTGCTGAGAACGCTAATATCGCGTTGAAGCTCCACTGTACCGAAGATGGTTTCAGCAGACTGAGCACCAACTCTCGTGGGAACATTGTGGTCTTCTGGAAGGTGCATATCCCTAGTACAATTGATAAGAAGAGTTTTCCTGGTCCTGGCAAGTTTCTTATTAATAGTACTAAGACGTTGGAGCTTTGGTGTGCGGAGATTTCCTTAAACAGAAGCCCGGGAGGCGAAATTTGGGGGAAAATTGAGTGGGCCGATCTTGTCTCTGAACTTGATCCTCTCTCATATACTGTTAAGGTTTTATATTCTGTTTCTCTCAATATCTGAATTTTGTATTTTCAAGTTTAAACTTTAAAGCCTTATCTTTTAACTTTGTTCTTGTTTTTTTGTCAACAACTATTATAGTCTCATTTGATCATATCGTCTCAGGTCTTCTAGCTACATGATCAATGAATCACACTCAATGCAAGTAAGCTTTTGAGGTGTTTGGCCTATATAGCTTGTTGATTTCCTGTCCTATATAGCTTGTTTTGTGACTGTCTCATTGATGAACCCTTTGATATCAAACTCTTTCTGATATTGTGATGATGGACTCTTGATGGTGTTTCCGTTTCATTTGTATGTGACTTGGCTTATCTTGTGACAGCAGACTTTGAAAATGTACTTGAAAACACTTATGTTTGTGGAAGCCTAGTGTTCTCTTTAGATTCATGAGAATTAACTTTTGCAATATACAAAGTTAGAGCTTGTTTGTCCAGTGTACATTCTCATTTATGTAACGAATGACCCAGTTGCAATAAAAGAACAGAGTTTTGTTGTTTAAGGTAAGGCTTGTGTTCATGTCTTGTAAGCCAACCAACAAAGAAATTATCACTGGAACAATTTGAGGATCCTCTGTTTCATTACCAAACGGGATTTGGAATTTGAAGTCATAAGCCTCTTTTTTGGTGAGTTGAAGTCATAAGCCTTTTATATAATGTTTTTGGACTTTTGGTTCAATTTAAAATTCGTAATAAGTTCTTAATTACGAAAACTGGACCTGTACATGAAATTGTTAGTCGTGAGGTGTAAAATTTATTTTAGCATGTTATCTATTTCTAAACTAAAAGCCCATTATTCACATGATAACTTTAGGCCATAGGCTAAGGTATTATTGATTTTCCTCGCGCAACGGTCCGAAAACTCTGGAATCAGAGAAACCCTATAAGGAGTTTCTTCCTTGATAATAAGTTGCTTTTCTTTTCCTAGCGAATTTGCTTCAGAAAAATTCTATTCCAATGTCTTCCACATCCAGATCTTCCGCCGCCACTAATCGCAAAGATCCACCGGGTAAGAAAAACAAGCAGATGACGACAGAACCAAACTCGATCGGTTCACTTTCTAATGACTTGTTATTGAACTGCTTTGCCCGTGTCTCTAGAATGTATTATCCCGCTCTCTCTCGCGTCTCCAAAAGATTCCGATCCATCGTTACTTCACCAGAGATTTACCACACTCGATCTCTCTTAAACCGTACCGAGAAGTGTCTCTATCTATGCTTACGCTTCCCTTTCGACAATAACACACATTGGTTCACTCTCTACCAGAACCCTAATCGAAGCGTAAGCAACAAGTCAAGTGGCAAGGTTTTGGTCCAAATTCCATCTCCCGAGTATCCTCTTACGCAATCGTCGAATCTCGTAGCGGTTGGTTCTAATATCTACAAAATTGGTGGAACCGTTGGTGATGATTTCTGCCCTCTCGGCTGGGATAGGAAACCTTCTTCTAAAGTCTCTGTCCTGGATTGTCGGTCTCACACGTGGCGCGATGGTCCAAGAATGCGATTGGACAGGAAATCCTCCACAACAAGCGTAGTTGATGGGAAGATATATGTAACAGGAGGCACTAAAGACACGGATAATCCCTCAAACTGGATCGAAGTGTTTGATCCAAAAACACAAAGTTGGGGATCCGTTACGAACCCTCGCATCGTGAGGCTTTGGGAGGAGGAAAGCTATAGACGTGTAGTCAAAAGCATAGGACATGAAGGAAAACTATACCTGTTTGGGGATGAGTTTGTAGTTTACAATCCAGAGGAAGGTATATGGAACCCAGTAGGAGAGGATAGGCTTATCGGTTGTGCATTAAAGTCGAGTTATTGCGTGATAGACAACATCTTGTTCTACTGGGATCAAGGAGTGTTCAAATGGTACGACAGTAAGGTTCCTTCATGGAAGGAATTGAAAGGCCTTGAAGGGTTACCTGATTTTAGCCACCGTGAGTATTGTAGATTGGTGGATTTTGGTGGAAAGATGGCGGTGTTGTGGGATATATGGGAGTGTACTTCTGAGGCATATATGGCGATTTGGTGTGCTGAGATTTCACTTGAAAAGCGCGATGGAGATGAGATTTGGGGGAAGGTTGAGTGGTTTGATACTGTGCTTGCAGTTGGAGCGTCTTGTAGCTTGATCAATGCGAATGCTCTTTCCGCTTCTGTTTGATGAAATGACGACTATTCATGAGAACATGCTTGAAGAGTGATGAAATTAGAAACAATATTCACTAATGCGGGTAATTTCGTTTTGTTTTGAATAGTTGCGTTTTTGAGATGTTTCCTTTCCGTTATTATGCGACTACAATATGTTGAATGATCGTTTCATGTTTTTAAGCCGAATGCAGTTTACATTATTTGTTTATTTATTAACATATGCACTCACGTTTAGATGATTTAGCTTAAAATTGTGATTGGGATTTTGACAAATATTGTCGATGCACTTTTGTTTGTGTTGCATAGAAGAGTGCGATTCTCTTTTACATTAACGAGAATAACTAAAAAGAGACATATACAGTTAGTGTTTTGTTTGTCCATTGTACCATCCTTTTTGGCTTTCTCATTGATGTATAATGATCATTTAAAAAACAAGGAAAAAGGATTAAAGACAAGATTAGTATGTATATTTTCATGTAGCATTTTTTTGAACTACATCTTTAGATTCTTCCTTTCGTAAGAACTAAGAAACGTTAACTTGATTAATTGTTTTTCTGTATGACCCTTCACTTTTCTTGCCTAATCAAGGCTCTTTTCTTCACCGGTGCAGAGATGTCTAACATATTTTTGTGTATATACTTTAATAATTTAATTTGTGGACAACAAAGTCTTTTATTATTCGTCCCGAAAAAAGAGCCCACGTTAAGAGCATGCTCTAACCACTTTCGATAAAATATTTTTCTTAATTTATTGTTATGCATCTTGACCGAGTCACACTTTAGACTATTGAATCTCTCTCTAGTTTATCGAGTCTTCTCCGACTGCTCCAACATTTTCTTTGTATATGATTTCTTTCAGTGTGGAAAAAAGTCACAATTCCAAAAAGATCAAAAATAGCGTATTGAAATAAAGGCATGGTGAAGAATCGAATGATCTATCTATGCAAACTCAGTGTTGATTTGTTCTACCATTAGAAGAAACGAAATCTTCAATGTCTTCTCCAACTAACCCTTTGGCCACCATGAACGAAGAGGAGGCACCATCTGAGCAGAAGAAGACGTTATCATTGGTACCCTCACCGATCACAAATCTCTTTCTTCCTGATGACATACTTTTGAGCTCCTTAAGCCGCATTTCAAGATTGTATTACCCAACTTTCTCCCTTGTCTCCAAGAGTTTCCGGTCTCTCGTTGCTTCACCAGAGCTTTATCTGACTCGGTCCATCCTCGGCCGCACCGAGAGTTGTCTTTATGTGTCCTTACGGTTACTTAACGACTCTAACCTCCGATGGTACACTCTCTGTCGTGTTCCGGATCGAAAACTAACAAATTTCTCAGGTGGTCATTTATTGGTCCCGATCCTATCTCGCCATGCTCCTCCTGCTCATTGGTCGAGTGTGGTCGCTGTTGATTCTAATATCTACGCTATTGGAGGGCCTATCAATGATGCACCATCCTCTAGCGTCTCGGTCTTGGATTGTCAGTGTGACATGTGGCACGAAGCTCCACCAATGCGGGTGGCACGAAACTACCCCACTGCGACCGTTCTTAACGGGAAGATTTATGTAGCAGGAGGCTGCGAAGAATGCATTTCATTGGATTGTATAGAAGTGTTTGATCCTAAGACTCAGACTTGGGACTCTGTGGCAAGTCCTGGCACCGAGAGATGCGAGAGACTTGTGTACAAGAGCGTTGGGATCGAAGGAAAATATCACTTGTTTGGGGGTGCGGGTCATGTGGCTTACGATCCGAAAGAAGGTAGATGGGACTCAGTTGGAATGGATATGGATATGGGTCGGACATGGGTTTCGTATTGTGTGATAAACAATATATTGTTCTATTATAATAATAGAAAGTTTAAATGGTATGACTATAAAGGAGGATTTTGGAGAAAGTTGATGGGGTTGGAACGGCTAATCAAGTTTCTATGCTATAGCCGTGTTAACTTAGCGGCTTACGGTGATAAGATGGCGGTTTTATGGGAAACTTCTGTGCCTTCTAGCTCCAAGAACAAGATGATTTGGTGTGCGGAGATTACAATTGAAAGGCACGACATATACGAGATTTGCGGTAAGACCCAGTGGTTTGATGTTGTGCTTAGAGTTCCCAAATCACATGAATTGGTACATGTTCTTGCTGCTACTGTTTGATAATTGATGATAATTCGGAGAGTTCGTGTAATATTCGGCTACTTAATTTGATGGATGATTGTTTCATGTTTTAATATTGAGGCCCATATTCAGTGTAAAGGATTTAAATATTAAGCCCACAAGCCCAAATTTGTGTAATATCACACGCGCAATCTAAGCGAGTAAAGAAAACGCGCTCGAGAACTCTCATAGCAGTGAAGTGAAGTCAAATCCCTAAATTCACACACCGGAATATGTTCTCTGCAAGTCGGAGAAGAAGCTGAAGACATCGGGAGGTTGCTCAACGGTGATTTTTTCTCGATAATTCCGCCAATGTCGTCACCTGAGCGGAAGAGGAAGAGGGTGATGTCGACGAAGAAGCCATCGCTTAGGAAAAAAAATCTTTCACCGGTGCTACCGCCGACGCCGATTCCGTCACTTCCTGATGATTTGTTTGTAAGTATCTTCGCACGCGTCACTTCGAGCTCTCCTCTGTTCACCGGAGCTTTACGAGACTCGGTCACTCTTAGGCCGAACCGAGAGTTGTCTCTATTTGTGTTTACAGGAAGGAAATCCTGACCCTAACCCTCTCTGGTTCACTCTCTGCCTGAAACCTGAAAGAAACCTAAAAAATGGCACCAAGAAGAAGAGAAAGAAGTCAAGTGGCAATCTTTTGATCCCAATCCCAGTTCCAAATCCTCCTCTTGCGCACTGGTCAGGTCACGCGTCTGTTGGTTCCGATATCTATTACTTTGGCGGATACATGGAGGAGAATGTGCCTTCATCTAGAGTCGTGATCCTAGACTGCCGGTCTCACACGTTGCTTGAGGCTCCAAGCATGCAGATGGCAAGGTTGGATCCTTCTGCTAGTGTCATTGATGGAAAGATTTATGTAGCTGGAGGTGTCGACGATGATGATTCAGATTCCTTGTACCCGATAGAGGTGTTCGACATAAAGACCCAAATTTGGGATCAGATGCGTATCCCTTACTGGGAGAAAGACTGGGGTGGTCTATCAAGAAGCGCATATATTGATGGAAAGTTCCACTTGATGATTGGGTGGAAGGTTATGGCTTATGATCCAAAGGAAAGTAGATGGGACTTTGTCGGATATCAGATGGGTCCGAGATGGTCATGGTCTTGTAATTGCGTTATCGAGAATGTTTTGTACTGTTATATTGGAGCTTTCCGATGGTATGACACTAAGCTGAGATTGTGGAAAGATATGAAGGGTTTGAAAGGACTACCTAAGTTGTCCCGTAATGTCTATGTTAAGATGGCAGATTATGGTGGAAAGATGGCGATTTTTTGGGACAATCGTGTCCCTTCTGCTTCCAATAAGAACAAAACAATTCGGTGCGCGGTGATTGCCCTTGAAAGGCCCAACAGTGAAGAGATTTGGGGGACAGTCGAGTGGCATGAGGCAGTGCTTACAGTTCCTGTGTCATATGAATTTGAACATGCTCTAGCTGTTACCGTTTGATGAATGACATACGAGACAGGCTTGAATGTGGTGAATCTTTAATGGTCTGTGGGTATTGGATCATTTTTGTTGTATGATTGTGTCTTGTGTAAAGCTCTTATGCTGTTGACATTGTTTGACTTGTAAACCTTTGATGCTTAGCTTTCTTTCTGCTGCTACAGACCTATGAAACACTGTTTTGGTTGAAAGAAAGTTTAATGATGCAGTATTTGTCTCATAGCCTTGTACGTTATGGAAACATCTAATGATTCAGTAACAGTACTATACATCATTTTGTTTTGAATGTGTGTTCTCACTTGTAGATATTGTGTGACTGCTACTGATAATAGCTTGTATGGCTCCCATCTGGCTTATGTCTTAGAGCCAGTTTTTGTGTAGCTAACGTTTGTGCTCTCTTTCATTTTAAGTACTGTTTTGGTTGATTAGAATGGTTTACTATATTCTTAGGGGAAACAAAAAGAACTATAACAAAGATACATACTTGAAGCATTAATGTTTGGTCGTCTTATAGACAAACAAATTGGAATTTTTTTGATGATTCACTAAGAAAAAAAAATTGGTGAAGAAGTTGCAGAGAAACTTGCTCTAGTAGTTAGTCCATGGTGGTACTAAAGATTTCAACATGTTACAATAAAGTGAACAGCCATCGTTGCACTTTTCAACAGTCAAAACTAAGCTCAAGCCAAAATGCTAATACACTACTGTTGTTGTAATGAATTGTGTTTTTTTCTTCAATTTACAAATTTATTGCTTTGAGCCCGGCCCGTTAAGAATGAATGAAAAGGATAAAAAAGCAGAGGCAACATACCATTACGCTGGAGAAGCCTTAGCAGTCAAAATCCCTAAATTCCTCTTTGACCTTGTTCTCTCTGCAGTCGATAATTTCATTTTTCGCCGATGTCGTCGCCGGTGAAGAAAAGGGAGAAGAAGACGACGACGTCGCCGATACTCTCACCGACGCCTCAGTCGACCCAGATTCCATCACTTCCCGTTGATTTGCTAATAAGTATCCTCGCCCGCGTCTCGAGATTGGACTACCCAATTCTCTCGCTCGTCTCCAAGAGCTTTCGATCTCTCCTTGCATCACCGGAGCTTTACGAGACTCGGTCACTCTTAGGACGTACCGAGAGCTGTCTCTATCTGTGCTTAGGGTTTACTTCTAACTCTAACCTTCGCTGGTTCACTCTCTGCCGAAAACCTAATCTAAACGTAACCAACAACATGAAGAAGAAGACGAATAAGCCAAGTGGGCATGTTATGGCGGCAATCCCAATGCCCAATTCTCCTCCTGTACACCGCTCTGGTCTGGTTACGGTTGGTTCTGATATTTACAACATTGGCTGGTCCATCATCAATGACCACTCCTCTAGCGTCTCGATTTTGGACTGTCGGTCTCACACGTTGCGTGAAGCTCCAAACATGCTGGTGGAGCGGTTTTTCCCTGCGGCCAATGTCATTGATGGAAAGATTTATGTTGCAGGAGGCAGCAAAGACTCTAATTCCTCCAATTGGATGGAAGTTTTCGATGTAAAAACCCAAACTTGGGAACTTGTGTTAAACCCTAATGCAGATGGATGCGAAAGTCGTATATGCAAGAGCGCAGTGATTGACGAAGCTATCTGCTTGTTTGGGTATAAGGGTGTGGGTGTTGCTTACAACCCAGGAATAAATAAATGGGAAAGGATAGGAGCAGTGAATTATTTGGATTTAGGATGGGAATGGTCTACTTTTTGCGTGATAGATAATGTACTGTATTGTTATAGCAAATCAGACGGAATCAAATTGTATGACTCTAAGATAGGACGCTGGATGAAGTTGAAGGGTTTGGAAGGATTGCCTAAGTTTGCTAGTAATTCTTGGGTTAGATTAGCGGATTATGGTGGAAAGATGGCTGTTTTGTGGGGCAATTTACCTACTACTGGCGATAACAACAATGTGATTTGGTGTGCGGTAATCACACTTGAAAAGCCTGACAATGAAAAGATTTGGGGCAAGGTTGAGTGGTTTGATGCTGTGCTTACAGTCCCTGAGCCTTATGAATTCGTGTGTGCTCGTGCCGCTACTGTTTGATGAATTGACTCGGTAGTGAATCTTGAATGGTGCAGGTAGAAGTTTAGTTTAGTTTGGATTGGGCTGCAAATGTTTAAGCTAAGCTTAAATTGTAATGCTAGAAATGTTTCACACTGTTTTGGTTGAACAAGTTGGGTTATTCACATTCGTAGGAAGAACTGTAACAAGATGTAGTCTTGAAGAGAGTTTTTTTGCTTGCGTGCTTGCTTCATACAATATTACTAGGATCGGACCCGCGGTCCACCGCGGGAGAATATTGGTTTACATACGTTGCGTTTAATATTGTGTATGTTTTTTAGTAGAACGAATCGTGTAGTATACTTATAAATATTCATAATAACAAATTGTAGAGAAAATGTAAAATTGTTTATAAATATACCCATCGTATTAATTATGATTTACAAAATAGAATTTTGTGTTTTAAAATTCTAAAATTAGACGATTCATGGGAATTAGAGCAGTCAAAATAGGTCAAAAACCGCAGGTCGAGCCCACATCATCTCACTATGGGGCAGATTTAGGAAAATATATTAAACCCGCAAATAAGCGGGCCACATGGATTAATTCGCAGTGGGTCATAGGTTTAATCGGTTTTCATCCGTGGGTTGGCGGATCAGCCCGCATATTAGTATTTATTGATAAAATTATAATTTATTCAACATGTGGTAATTTAAACAAACTTTTAATAGTATTTTGATTTATTTATTTATTTTAGTAGTATTTTAAATTTTGGTTACTTTAAAATTATTTAAACAAAATCCATGGACAATCCCGCAAATCCGCATACATTCGCGGGACGGGTTTGTATTTCATATATGCTACCCGCGGGTCGTGCGGACCGACTAACTGCAAATCAAAATATTTTTTGTCTATCGCAAAACGGACTTAACGGGACGAATCAACTCGCTTTGACAGTTCTAATGAGAATATTATTTAGTCATACAACAAAATGAAGTTTGGACATAGTAATAATAGAATATGTATCTTATTTTTTAGATGAGAGATTGAAAGATAAAGTATAATGATTAAAAATTAATTATTATTTTTCATGATTCACAAAATTTAATAAATACTTATCATCTTGTTGAATAATTTGTAAAATCATATTCAAGAAATCTTTATAAATTGAAAATTAAACTTCTTTGGTAAGCTATAGGTATAAAAATATCATAATTTCGATTTAATCTAATTAAATTAAAATTAGTTACATGGATTTCATATCTATTTAATTTACACGACCAAAATAAAAATATCAATTTAATTTATAAAACAGATGGGTTATTTGTGATAAATTTTCTAGAAATCTTTAGAAGCAAGTAAAATATCTTTCAATTAATGATAATTGGCTAAAATGAGCGAAATTAATGATAAAAACGTTGATTGTTATGGAATTAGTCCCAAAAATATATGAACAAATTTATTATACGTAATTAATGTATAACTAGGTGATTGCCCGCGCGCATGCGCGGGAAGAATGTTGTATAAATGGTAAAATCATGTGAAATAAGGGATTGTTTAGGTGTTACTTGGTAGTGTAAGAAAAAATGGTAAATTGTTTAGGATTTAGTGTGGTAAAATTATGGAAAATGATGAAATTTAAAAAATTCAATAATATTATAAATGCTAAAAAATAATAATAAATCATCTTTTAAAATCATTCACCAACAAAATAAGAAATCAACGAACATCATCACTCCATGACATTCTCCTTCCGTGTGATGATTGGTACTTGGTCATTTTCAGGATTCCTGACATCCGATTAAGAACACCATAAACAGTGAATGTCCAGTCGCCAACTTTAGAGTTTTGATTGTAAACGGAAAAAAAAATACTTACCAACAAAGCATCTCGTCGGTAATACTGAGATCCGGATTCAACATAATCCTCGTACTTCCGGTAACATTGGTACATCTCCACCTATGTTCCTGTGATAGTTCTAATTTCACAAACTTGATAATACATATCACTGTGTTACGTGAACGATGCTTCCATAAGTCATAGAACTCGACTGCAAGGTCACCCGTTAAACGACACTCTAGATGGATACACCTAATTTTAAGATTTGAAGAAGTCATAAGACATTATATTCTGGTTTAAATCTTTAAAAGAATAGTGACTTACTCAGTATCACGTAAACCAAAGTACAGCTCAAAATATCCTCCTTGAGAATGTTCCACGGAAGGAACAAAAACCAACTCTCTCACGTTGACAATTTTGCCAACAACATCTATGAAACACACACATGAATAATACAGTCAGAACATGAACCGCAAATAAACTCCAAAAGCACAAATAAATTTATAAATTAGGCTTACCAACGCAAATATTCGGATTAACAATACCACTCAATATACTCACAAACTCAGTTAGATTGAAATAGGTTCTACTGGAGCACATATTAATACTTTGCACTAAAGTGTCCGAACGAAACACAATCTTGAATCTATGCGGTACTGGTCTCAATATGCTGTTAACCCGTGATACATCAAAATTTTTAATGCTCACCCACTCATCGATTATCAATCTTGAAAGATAATTATCAATTAATTCATCACGAACAACGGCTTGGATTTGTGTGAACTGCAAATAAAACGTCAAAGACAAAACCAATTCAATTTAATATCGAAAACATGTATAGCAGGTAAGTTATCAAAAAACTAACATGCTCGTCACCCAAAATCATATTGAGCTCTCTACCCGTGCCACGCGAAACAGACCAACAATTCAAAATCTTCACCGAGACAGACCACTCATCCATGTTAGGGTTAAGAGACGCAATACGAAAATAACCACCATCACATGAATCAGATGTAAAAGGTATCATTGTAGAACCCATAACAAAAGATTACGCGGCTAAATATTCCAATGAGGTATAAATGCGGGATACATATATGTAGACCTAACGATTATTTGGAAAGAACATAAAAATGGAAAATATATATTAAAAACTAAATCAGAAAATTAACAAAAACGACTATTGATTAAACGATATAGAATTTATCCATAAAATTAATAAATTAAGTTTTTAAAAAAGAAACCAAATCTCAACAGTTAAACTGAAATATATACTAACGAAACTTAAGGGTAAAAAATATCACTCTATTATCAACACCATAATAATAATATATACAAATGGTGTAAGTTATTAGGGACGCAAATAAAGTTCCATTTTACCTAACGACGGAAACCAAAACCACACGATGCATTTTGAGAAACAACTTTTTTGAATGAGTAATACAAAAAAACTATAACCAATGACAAGTTATGTATCATGTATGTCACCTTAACAGAGTTTTTAACTATGTCATATAACATCTTTCAGACTAAATTACAAAAACTCACTAAAGCGAAATATATATAGAACTATAACGCATATCCAGAAACTATACTATATAAATAAAATTGTAACTATTAAAAGTGTCAATTTAGTATTTATCACAATCGATGCATATCATAACAGTATCCCTAATTGTAGAGATTTTGTTTATTATTACACGCGATTTCCATAATAATCGCGATAAAATAATATTTTTTTCTTTCTTTTCGGGCGTGTTGATGTAGTAGTTGATTTTTTTTTTTTTTTTTTTTGTTCTTTTTGTTTGGTTTGCTTATATATAATAGCGTGAATAATAATAATAAAACAGAGGAGAGAGTATATATTAAAATTAAACGGAATATCTAAAAGCAAGTAGATATATCGAACTATAAAATACGGTACAGACGACGTCAAATCGCAACTGGTTATTTTCTAATTATTACTACAAAACAATACAGTTAATCCCATTCAATTTTTACCGGATACGAACATAATAAAAAAAATTACAGAAGAGATAAGCGATGATAACCTACACGCATCGTCTATGTGTCGAGAAACATGATAACAGTCGTCGGAAGTTCTAAGTCTTTGTAACAATGATAGCAAACACAGACGCATTATTGTTCAACTATCAAAGAAAATTACGCATAAACAGAAATATTCTAGAAAAAGTTATAAATGAATATCTTAGAAAAAGTGATACAGCAACAAATACATGTAGTTAAAAATTATGGATTACGCGGTACTTCGTATATAATTCGCATTACGAACATGATATAGTCGATAATCATATTAAATACACAAGAAAGAACAAACTTAATTAAAATAACAAATTCATAAATAATAAATCATAAAGGTTAATAATTCCCAAAACGATAAAATGATAAAATAAATAACACCAAGACACTATTATATTGATAGTATTAGGTGGAATAGTAAACCAATACCGAAACTATAACACCGATAAAACAAAACCAAGACAACGATAACAAATCTAGGCCAATATCACATTGACATGTCATCACATTTGTAAGTTAAGAGTCGGCGAACTATACCAAGACGCACACCTTCAAAACCGGCATGATGGAATCCAAGATCACCCATCACCTTACGCATAACACGAAAACCATACCACTCTAATTGCACATCGGATAACTCCAACCCTAGTGTAATAAAAAGCAACACCTTTTTGAGACACAACTATCAAGTCAAACAACATCTATAAGTATTTAGTATTGATGATAGATTAATACCAGGATTATTACGCGCGATTTTCTGTTCAGCCAACACATCACCACTCAAAACTCGATAGCAAGCGTCCCATACCGTGTGGACATTAATGCTTTTATAGAGTATCAACGATTCAACAAAACGAAGGCGTAGATACGCCGGGCATAAACGCCAACTACTGATGACAATATCATTAATACACTCAAGAGTATCTTCATTGGTATTCATTAAAATCTCATCACACTCAAGACCGTCAGACGGGTATGGCTTCATACCAGCAGCAACAAAACGCTTCAAGATAATAATAGACAACACATTAGTATCTTATTACATGAATACAAACTGACTATATATATAATATATGTACATCAACTATTAGTAAGATAGATATAAATTATCTCACCCCATCACCAAAATACTTCATGCGCAAGTCAGCATAATTCTGGAAGATATACAAAATAAAGTATAAGCAATATAACTTATATTACCAACATTTATCAAACACGTAAATCGGAACGAATGTTACCAAATAATAAATCAAACTGCACACTATATAGAGTTACCAATTAACCTTTTTAGTCTGCATCAGAGGGTCCAATGATTTTGCCTCCTATACAAATCAACGAAGATATAAGTTTTTTTCTTTTTATT